CGGGTACACAAGGTGAGCCCTCAGCAACCCCACGGTTATCGGAGTACCCCCTCCGTCAGTCGGCAGTCCAGGGCACTGTGTGTCTGAGTGGATCGCAACGCGATTTTGCGAATCCCACTCCACCACAACACCAAGAAGAATGAAAGCGATACACTAACTGCTATATAGTTGGTAACAGCCATGCCATTGATGTCAGTCCACGCATCCGTCTCCAAAGTTACAACGAGACCCGAAAGTCGCAGCGTCAACTGCTGAACAGACTTGTCGAAAGCCTGGTCAAGCAAACCGTTGGCCAGTTGAAACGCCGACGGCACGCAGATGCCGGGGTTAGGGACTTGAGCCTCTAGCAGCGTGTGGTGTTTCGTCTTGTAGAAGGCCATTCCAGTGGTGTACATTCACCACGCAAAGCGTTACTGCTTCAAAACCGCCGTGTTCATAATCGACTGGTAGATATCCGTGATCTTGTAAGACGACAGACGTTTCTCGCAGCGGCTGTAGACGTGTTTTTCGACTCGTTCCACGTGAGTTCGACCAGACGCGTGGACGAGCTTCCCACAGCGCTTGCACAAAACGTCCTTGCCATCCACGTCCATCAAGTCCCAGACTGGTTTCCGATTTCGCCCAGCTGTCGGAGCGGGCGAAGGCGTGTCATGAGTAGCAGGAGTGCTCGTGGAGAGACTGACGACTTCAGAGTTCATCAGACTTGGTGGGTTGGAGTTGCAGTTTCGATTGCAAGCTTGGTGGAAAAAGAGAAAGTGAGTGCCAAACTTTACAAGCACTTCCATAAAGCACCTCTGCAAGGCAAGGCAAGTCAGGCGACGGCATTGGATGGTGGAGCGAGCTCGGCGCTTTAAGTGTGACGTGTGATATCTACAAATAGTACACCCTTAGTTAAATTAAACGAGTTGTTAGGACAGGGAACTACCCATTATCCACCCACCCCCAACAGCGCTTTATCCACTCCTGCATCCTATAAAACCTGGGTTTTCCAAAACCCTGGTGGTAATACACTACTATTTGCAGCCATAACTCCAATATTTATTTTTTTGATGATGAACAATAACTTATTGCTTAACTGATGCAGAAACTAATCCATAATGGATATTGTTTTATTTTGTCTACAAAATAAAAATGCCATATTCGGAGGTCCTGTCCTGTCAAAGTTGGTTTGTTTCCCCTTTTTATATCGATAGGTGGTGGGCACCAAAACACTGTTGAAAAACCATTACATATTTGATGGTTTTTTTCCGTCTGAATGGCATCCAACAAGATGGTTCATTTGGGTTATTCGGAACCCAAATAAACGGGGGTCAAATTTTGGGTCGTAATAAAATATGCTTGGATGGCATTCAGACGATAAAAAAACCACTAAAATGTTGATGGCTTTTTTTCGTCTGGATGGCATCCCGGGCAATCAGATCTCTCATGTTCCATACCATAAAAACTCCGACCTCCGACAGCTCCGACCGAGCACATAGAAAGGTACTTTAGTGTTTAGAACATAATTTAATGTTGAAAATATGTAAGTGGTTTGGGGATCTACTTTTGGGATGTGAGATGCCAGCGGTCGTGCCAAAGACCGCTTTCTACCAGTTTTATAGCCGGATTCTCAGCCCTGAAACGGCCTGTGGGCTGAGAAAAGTGCAAAAACTAAAAATGCATTGTTTTGGCTCCAAAGAGCCAAGAGAGCTGTTCACGCTCCATGGTAAATTGACAAATAAGGCGCCGTCCCTGAAATCGGGGTCCACTAATAGGAGCACTCGCTCCCTATTTACATACTTCTTACGCGTAATTACGAAATGGGTTCTGTGGTCCACATTAGAAGTGTAGGTAAAACCTTTAAAACTAGGTTTTTTAACGACTGGGTTGTATGAGTGCCGCCAAGTCAAACTCAGTGTCATTCTTGATTTTGTTTTTTGCAAGGCACAAGAGACACCCTCTCTACTGCGTGGTCCAATGTGACGCTACCACAGCATTATGTATTTTTGCATTTTAACGTGTTTGTACGATGTGCGGCCTCCTCTGCTTTTCATGCGTGTTGTGCTTGCTTGCGTTGAGGTTAACATTGCTGTTCCGCAAGGAGGTTAAGCTTTGTGTTCGACACATTACTTAAAGTGCGTTTAGTGTGCTCTGTAATGAGGTTAACTTTGCTGTTCCACATGGAGGTTACGCTTAGTGTTCAATACGGTCCTATCAATTCATACGAAAACTACGGTTGATTAACTTGTAATACACGCTGTATTAACCCTTTTAGTCATGCCTATCCTTATGCTTCAGTCTCGTTGAGCGTGTTGTCTTCCACATCTTCGCTTCGAAGAACTTCTTGCGCACAAGAAGGCGGCGCTCCTTTTCGAAGGCAGCAACAACAGAGGTATGGAGGTGATGACGCGGCTCCCACGTTGGCTCCCAGTTGACGAGGTAAAACGTCTCTCGGTTCTGGCGCTTCCAATTTAGCAGCTTGCGGACGTAGTGGTTCTGCTCGCCTTCTGTAGCTGCGTCTTTGGGCTCAGCAGGAGGTGGATCGACCAGCCACTCGCGTACGTCCTCCAGGCTCGCGCGGCGTGTCTTCCTCTCGGACAGTGAACCGCAAATGACGTCGATGGCTTCAGGCAGCAGGGCGGCGGAGGCTACAGTCGTGTTCATGGTAAGTCGCAGGTGGCGGATTGCCTCATCGCTAATTCGAAGCTTGTATTTTTGATGTAGCAATGCAGCACGACTTGAACTCCTTTAAAGAGCTGACGGCGTTCTTGGTGGGCTTGATCGATGGCATGAAGACGGAGTTTTGTGTGCTTGGGTGCGGATTTCAAACTGAGCGGCAGCACACGTGGGGCGCTCGATTGCAGAAGCATTGACTGGACCACATGAAAAGGTAGCATTGTATGTATTTACTTACCGGAAACTAACCCAAATACGTTTGTTGTATGTGAAGGGGCTGGATCAAGAATGTGATCTGAAGCTTGGAGTTGCTGATAGCGGAGAATGTGCTGGTTTAGACTGCCATCATTGTGAATTTTGCGCATGGACTTCAGGACATTCGGCGCGCCACGGGCTGTGATGTTGTGCTGTTTCAGGAACGTCAACAGCGCGGTTTCGGCACTCTCACCAATCGTCAGGACATTGTCGCGATATTGTGGGGAGCTCTCAACAAGTTTGAAGCCGCCTTTGAGGAACAGCTTGAGGAAAGCGACTACCTGTTTCGCTGTCGATCGCGCATGCTTAGTCTCTGGGTCAGTTGAACTCCACATCCGTGGTTCTTGAGTGTACCAAGTGAACCAAGCGTCTTTCAAACTGGAAGCCGGAGAGGTACGTCGTCACTTGTGTGGTTGTTCGCTATTTGTACACACACTTGGCTGCTGCGGTGCTGGTGTTCGTGTATGTTTGTTGCAGATCTTTGCTTCCATCACAGACAACCGGGCATCTAGAGTCTTGTTCACCTGGATTAACTGTTCAATCAAGGCTGTTTGATGAAGAAACACGGGGTGCTTTGTGACGTCGGCTGTTGTGTCTTGTGCGACTGAGATGTCAGATTTGCTGGAGGAAACAGAGGCAAGGTATGACGACCAAGCGAGAAGATCATTAACGGAGAACCCTCTCTCAATGGCACACGCCTCCAGACGTTGAATTGCAGGACTACCAGCTGCAAGCGCCTTCAGCGCGGGGTAGTGGCGGATCAGGTAGGTCATGAGGGTGTCCAGTACGCGCGCGTTGACATTGTGCTGTTCTGAGGCGAGTCCTGACGAAGCCGTGAACAGCACTGAACAAACATATCGAATGTTGACTTTCGTGGTAGAATCAAAGGAATCGAGGTCTAACAGTTTGACGGTTTCTTCAGGGTCGCGATTGCTGAGAACACGAGCAACTTTATGATCTTCTGCAGGAGTATTGAAGACGTACGCGAAGACCTTGTTCGTCGACGTCATGTTCAAAGCACCACGGCCGAAAATCCACTGAACATACATCCCAGTGCCGTTGGCATGTTGAGCCCCACCCCGACGAAATGAATGAGATGTGAAATGCTCTGTCACACCAGCCTTTTCTGCAACTTTCCCCAAGACACGGTTGACGTGGCTGTGGATACCTGGCGCGTCTTCTGTTGACTTCGCATTCTCCGACGAAGGTTGTAGCGGTGCGACGACGCCCGGATGATCCATTAAGTCGATGAGAGGGGCTGTTGGGGTCAAGGCTGCACGGGACACAGTATGCTGTTCGGGAAGTTGGCTCAGGAGAGAAGCGGTGGGCGCCGATTGCATCGCCAAGGATAGCGCAATGGCCAACAGCGGGCAAGTGGTAAAATCCTCGTCCGGGAAAAGAGAAAGGCCCTGCTCTTCGGATGTCTTCACTCGAATGAAGCGGACGAAGAAGATATTCCCTGAGCCGATCGATAGATTCTCCTTGCGCAGTAGCGTGAGGTCAGACGCTCGTCCGAAAAGAAACCACAGCAGACACAGGATTGTTGCATCTTGATAGTCGGAAGCCGTAGCAGTAGTTGAATAGAGATACGTCGTCATTTTCTTCAGTGCTTCTTTCGTGCATGCGGGTGCCTTGTTGACAAAAGTACCGGTCTCGCGCTTCATGCAATATCGCTCCAAGACTTGCCCTTTCTTGAGCAGATTCTTCTCCGTCTCTGGTCGAAGCAGTGGAAACTGCTCTAGCAGCCAGTTCTTGCCCTGTCGGAAGTACTGCATCACCGAATGTCTAGCCAAAAGCTGGTCGTTGCGGCCTTTTTTGAAAGCTAAATGCATGTCTACCACTGCCTCCAGCATGGTAGCAGCGTTGTCGCGCTTCATGCACACCTCCAGGTACTCCCATGGCACGCCTTCCTCATTGAGGAAAGCCTTGAAGGAGCGAGACGCGCTCTCGCGTGCGCGCTTTGTGTTGGCAGGTGCGAGGTCTGTGAGGCTCATGGAGTGTCGGAGAGGTCGGGGTTTGCGTGTTATTTGTGAAATATGCAAATGATTAAAAGTTTGTATGGGAATATCAATAACAGCTAGTATGGCTCCGACCAGATATGTCGGAGCTGTTGTTTACGAACGTAACTCGCATTGGATTGGTCAAAATAATGCGCTATCTTTGTTTGATTCGCTGAAATAAAATTCAGTCCTGCTGATTGGTCAATACTGTAATAGTGAGTTCTAGTATTGTCGGAGGTTTAACGATATTCATCCATAACAACAGCGACTAAACTATAATTTAAAAATATAGAAAACCTGATATTTTTTGGTACAAATTGAGAGAAAATACGGTACGCTTCGCGGCCCCGCTTACGCAAGCTAAAGGCTTCTTGAAGGCGAAAGAACCATTTCCAATACCACCACAAGGCCACCAGGGAGGACTTAGACGATGGACGTGCTGGGTAAGATCGTACAGGGCACGGGCTGCGCCGTGGACGGCACTGTGGCAGCACAGAACCCGCTGTCGCGCGCGCTGGACAGCGTCGTGCAGTCACAGGCGCGCGGCCGCCAGTCCCGTGGGCCTATGCCTGCCTACCGTGGCCGCAGTGAGCTGCAGATGCAAATGCAGCGCCCTCACGTAGCGCGGGCAGCCGACCCACAGTTCCTTGCAGCATTCGAGCAGGAGGCTGCCAGTCGCTCGCGCATGGAGGCGGCCTTTCGCTCGGGCGAGGCGCAGCAGCAGATAATGCATGCGCACCAAGCCTCGATGGAGGCGGCCTTTGAAGAGGCCCAGCGCGCACAGTTTCAGCACATGCCGGGACCTCCACCACCGCCCATGATGGGCCCGCAAATGATGCATCCGCGCGCCATGCAGCATGATGCTTGGGTCGAGGACTTCCGCTCCAATCATCTAGACGACGCCTGGCAGACCGCTGGCAAGTCCCATCACGAGGTGGCGTGGGAAGAGACGAAGGCGCCGGTGCCTGTGATGCACCAGCCCATGATGCACGCTGCTCCCGTAACAACACAGCAGGTCGACGCTCCCCTGGAGCAGGCGACGCAGGAGGCTGCGAAGAATCTCGAGGCGCAGCAGGCTTCTAGCGAGATGGCGCGCACTATGAGCCAGAACCCAGACCCGAAATTCCAGAACAGCCAGTTTCTCAAATTCATGAACCAGGTGAGCACGGGTGAGGTGCAAATTGATGAAGAGAAGAACGAAGTCGTGAACGGGGAGCTCAAGATGGAGGGCGCTCTAGAAGGAGCGTGGGAAGACACGTCGGATATGCACTCGAACCGAGATCTTTTCGACGCGAGCTGGAAACAGAGTGGAAATGCCTCAGCAGCAGCAATGGAGAACGCGTTTGCAGAAGCAGCTGGTGCTCCTGCACACCCACTCGAAGGAGCTTGGATGGAGGCCGGTACAGCTAATGCCACCGGCTTGGACCAAGCGTGGGGTGACTCGAAGACTGCGGAGGAGAAGATGATGGACAGTGCGTGGGGTGAAAGTGACAACTTGGTACGCTTTGTTGTGCATCGGTATGATATCGCGTAGGTGTACTAATGGTGTATTGCCGTATAGGAGGCGATTTGGGAGAAGGCGATGGCAGAAGCACAAACTACAGACCCGTTCGAAGATGCGTGGGATAATGCCACCAGCCAGGACTACACTTACAAGACCGAGAATCCATTCCTGGAATCGTCCGAGAATTTCCAAAAGGGGATTGAGTTTTTCAAGTCCGGCCATTTAGATGACGCGATCCTCGCTTTCGAAGCAGAGGTACAGCAGCACTCGGATAACAGTGAGGCGTGGAGAATGCTCGGTGAATGCCACGCAGAGAACGACGAGGATAAAAGCGCCATTATTTGCCTGGAACGTGCGGTGGAGGAGGATCCGTATAACTTAAGTGCACTATTGGCACTCGGAGTCAGCAATGTGAACGAATTGAACCCGCAAGGCGCGCTGAAAACACTGAAAGCTTGGGTACAGCACAACCCCAAGTTTCATGGCCTGGAGATCCAGGTAGACGAGTATAGCGACGGGTCTTTGATGGATGAAGTTATGCAACTGATGCTGCAGGCACGTGCGCACGACCCCAGTGATTCGGACGTGCAAGTTGTGCTGGGTGTCCTGTACAACGTGTCAAAAGACTACGACGCAGCAGTCGCGAGTTTCAAGGCTGCGACGGACTCGCGGCCGGATGAGTATGCGCTGTGGAACAAGATTGGAGCGACACTAGCGAACTCAGCTCGCTCGTCCGAGGCCATCCCTGCGTATCATCGGTACGTTATACCGTGTGTGATGTCCGATTTGTGTTGCTAACTCGCTGTACGTGTATATTTATTTTAGTGCGCTGGAGTTGAAGCCTCGATATGCTCGCGGGTGGCTCAACCTGGGCATTAGCCACGCCAATCTGGGGAACTACGAGGAGGCCACAAAGTGCTACTTGCAGGCGCTGAGTTTGAACAACCGCGCAGACCATATCTGGAGCTATTTAAGAATCTGCTTCACATGCATGGAGCGGTTCGATTTGGTGAAGATCGCGGATACGAAAGACATCGCCCGCTTCCGCGAAGAATTCAAGCTCATCGATCTCTAAGCTGTCCGTAAGCTCCTGTTTTTTTTTTTTTTTTGGTACAAGGCCGTTCAGCTGCAGCGATGAATTGTATTTTACTTGGCTTCAGTAGACAAAAATGTCAGAAAATCTTTGAACGGTCCGCGTCTTTTCACTCCAGATTTTATTTTTTCTTGGGAAGTTATCGATCAGGCCGAACATGTCGCCGACAAGCGTAATGTCGCCCTACGACAGGCTGCGCGAGCTGGAGAAGAAGCGCTTCCATAAGCAGCACAAGGGCCAGGTGCCTGTCATGGACGCCGAGACGCTGCGAGAGTTGTGTATGGAAAACGACGGGTACGAGACTCCGGAGCTCAACGACAGCTTGTACGCGCATTTTCGTGGCTTCCAGCGCATCGAAGGCCTGGAAGCCTATTACAACCTCAAGGCTCTCTGGCTCGAATCCAACGGTCTCTCTAAAATCGAGAACTTAGAGAGTCTCGTTAACCTGCGGTGCCTCTACTTGAGCAAGAATCTCATCGAAAAAGTCGAGAACCTGCACGCTTTGCGCGAACTCAACACGCTGGACCTGAGCGAGAACCGCATCCAGTCGCTTGAAGGGTTAGCACAACTCCCCAACTTGTTGTCACTAAACGCTTCTCGCAACCGTCTGACCACAAGCGCAGACTTGCAAGAGCTCGCTCAATGCCCGCTGCTCAACAATATTGATATCAGCCACAACCTAATCGAGGACCCAGAGACACTGAGCGTGCTCAAGGCTGTGCCGATGCTCAAGGCGCTGCGAATCACAGGCAATCCGGTGGTCTCCAGTACGCGCTCGTTTCGCAAGACGTACATTGCAGCTCTACCTCAACTGTCGTTCCTAGACCGCCCCATTTTCCCCATCGAGCGTGCCTCAGTGACAGCGTGGCAATCGGGTGGCGTTGAAGCAGAGCGCGAGGCCAAGCGGTCGTTTGTGAATCAGGAAAATGAAGAGCGTCGTCGTAGCTTGCAAGAGTTTCGGGACTGGCAAGCGCAAGTTCGAGAGCGCAGGATCAAGCAGTTGGCGCTGGAGCGTGCGCAGAAGCTGCTCGAAACGACCCCAGAGGTCGAGCCAGAAGAGATCGACGTGGATTTGCGGGGCTTTCGGGCCATCACCAAGGAGGAGTACGTCGCAATGGATGCCGCCGAGCGTGCCAAGTGGGACGCCCGCATCGCGCAAGCCCACGCGGACTCCCAGCAAGCGAAATATGAGGTACTTGGCGACGGAATCGCGCGGATGGGATCCACTTTCTGGGCAACTTCAGCGACGTCTCAAGCAGCCGAAATAGCCACCGTCGCGTCGGACCTGCCGCCGCCACCGCCACTCGAGAATGCCGCAATTGTTGAGCGTCACTCGAAAGGTAAACACGAGCTGCCTGAGGCTACCAAGTCTGCGTCGGAGGTGCATGTAACAGAGCTCCAAGTGTCCGCTAGCAGCGACAACAGCGACCCAATTGAAGACGCCGAGAAACCATCTGCTGCTAACGTTGAAGTTGCGGGAAACCAAATTGTTCAAGCTGTGCAGAGCATTTCGGTGGTCGACTCAAGCGACTCTACAGTTCGAGCCGCCAGCGAGAAGATGAACGTTCGCGAGAACGAGAACGACCACACAACGGCGGTTGTTGAAGAAGAGAATGTCCAGCATGATACTGATGAGCGCAGTGAGGACAGCGACCGCGATAATGTCGACACCGCCTCGGCTCTGTCAGCCGCAGTGGCATCGGAGCAACCGAATCTTCCGCCCCCGCCGCCAATTGAAGCGTTCTGGCCAATTGGACGCGGCTCGATCGACGCCGAGCCTCGCGAGACCTGGGCCCAGTTGCAGCAGCGTGCCAGCGCCGCGCCCTTCCGCCTGCGTCCACAGTCGTTGCCGTCGGCTTTTGAGGTGCGTTGCATACTTACAAGAAAAAAAACGATGGCCTTTCCGATTACCTACAGTAGCCGGCTCATTCCACCGATGATCTGACTGATATTGTCTTGTTGTTGGCGTGGGTACAAATTCAGGCCGAGAACGAGGAGCGGAGCGGCGCACTGGCGACGGACGACGAAGCCGCAGCCTCACCCGTGCGCGTCCTAAGTCGCGCCGACATCCTGCGCGAGTTGGGGAAGCAGCAGCACATTCTCGCGCCCTATACAAATGTCAGCGAGCTGGACTAAAACACAGATGATGGCTGATGACATCGGATACTTTGCCCAATTTAACTAACTGAGAACCAATGAGCGGCCGTGATTTTGAGATCATGTGCTTTTGATTGGTCATAAATGTTGTGGATTCGCTATTTAACTGTCGCATCCGCTTTTGCTTCCGACGACCTTGAGGCACCTCACTCGCATTTTCCACAGCGACGCGGCAGATCTATCTCCCTAGTACCCTCTTGAACGCCAGCGCGCCCTTCCTTTGCGGCACACACCATGTGGACGCTGCTGCTCACGCTGCTGCTGTTGGGCTTAGTGGCCACTGCAGCCTTTGCTGCGTTTGGCGACGTGTTGTTGACACTACTGCTGCGCCAGTTCGCAGCTTCGGCTGTGGGTGCCAAGTTCTCCATCTCCTGGTCGCTGCGTGATGGCTCGCTTGAGCTGCGGGACCTGGTGCTAGGCAAACATGTGATGCCTGAACTGGAGCCTGTAGCTGGGATGCCTTTCGGCCTGGAGCGCCTGGAGATGAAGCGCTTTCTATTGATCGTGCCGCTCTGGGCGCACCTTGTGCGACTCGTAAGCGGTCAACCTGAGGACCCGAAGCGCCCGCGCATGGAGTCCAAGGTGCTGATTGGTGGTCTACGTGTTGGCTTGAGGCTCGACGCTGCCGAGAAGTGGATGTGGCACCGCCAGCAGAACGCCGAGCGCTGCGTTGAGGCGATCAAGCAAGCGGCCAAGGCACGATTAGCACGCGCTAATACTTGGACAACCACAATCGTGCAGAAGCTCAAGGAGCTCGCAACTCTGCGCAAGCAGATCCGTGAAGCCGAGAAACGCCGATTCAAGAAAACTGAAGAGCAGGCGCCGCTCAAACCTTCCTTCTGGCACTTGTGGGTGGACGAGCTGATTGACTCCTTCGAGTTCATGCTACAATCATTCTCTCTTCTAATCCGTGACGAATACTCCGGTGCGACGGTAGGAATAGCAATGGAGGAGTTCGAGATGAGCCGCAGCGGCCCAGCCGACGACAACCGGCGCAAACGTGCCATGCGACTCGTGGACTACGAGATGTTCCTCAACTCGAAGCCTGGAGGCAGTGCGAATGTCTGCCACCTCATTGCTCCGCTCACGATGGAGATTGGCGTGCTCATGCCCTTCGTTTTCCAGTCGCTCGTCATGGGCCAGGGCACGGGCGAACGCGCGTTTGAGCTCGAGATTTCGTTCGCAAACGGCCGAGATTTTGAAGTTGAACTGCGTCCTGCACAAGCTGGCATGCTGTTGAAGTTGATGCAGCCAATCAACTTCTACTATGACTGGCAGACAGCAGCGTCCATCGCGGATGACCTCGCATGTGTACAGCTCAATCCGACTGAGTCTGAAGAGTACATGACGCTATTCAATCAACAGTGGAAGCTCGATAACGAGACTGGATTTGTGTTCCGGATGTACGAGAACTACAAGCAGAAGGAGGCCATTGCCAAGCGCAAGGCTCGTTTGGATGAACTGGAAGACAAGGTGCTCGCTACGCAACTCCTGTACTTGCGTTCATTGTCGCTTGGCTGGGAGATTCCGAATGCAGGCGAGCCGTTGCCCTATGTCAGTGAAGAGGACTTGGAAAGGGGAAATTTGCGGAAGTTTGTGGACAATCCGGCGGATTCCTACGTGGACAAGGACAAGATACCAGAGACCCCGCCAATGTTCCATCTGTTCCGACTGTCGTTCAAGATGAAGAGGATGAACTTGCGGTTGATCGAGGACAACGAGAAGAAGCTGATGACGTTTTTCGTGCATGATGTGGAGTTTGAACTACGCTACCGCATGACGAAGATCGCCAAGAACGACACGGCCGTCGAAATCGTGTTGGATGCTGTGCGTTTTGGATTACTGGACAATCGAGACGCCCCCACCAATGTGTTCCGTCAGATTATGGATCGTAACCCTGAAGCTGAAGATATGATGGCGATCGCAATCTCACAGCGTGGAGACGGCTACATGGACATTGGCGTGACGCTCAAGCACTTTTCGTTGCTGCTTGTGTTTGATCCGCTGTTGGACGTGATGCACAAATTCCTGCCAGCGATTGGTGAAGACGAGAAAGAGCAAATGCGTTTTGTTGATTGCGAGATGGCGGATCCCATGGACTCTCCGGAACGGCGAGATGCTGCAAGACACCTCTATGTCGAAGATCTGCCGAAAGCTTATTCGCCTTTGCTGCTCGGGGGGATGCAGCTTGGTTGTAGCGTTCTTTTACAGGGATGTGAGTTCTGCCTTATTGGAGATTCCAAAACGCTCAAGTCGCCCGTCTTGGCTTTCACTTCGGATACCAGGCTTCGAGTTTTGAGTTCGGAACGCTCAGAAGCCGTGGAGCTGGAATTGGAGGACGTGGCTTTGACTCCATGCACAATTATCCTGCGTGATGATGCGATTGAACTGGACATTGGTGATCTACGAACCATTCTGGAACTCGAGGGCGAAGGCGTTGACTTCTCAATGGGCTACAGACTTACTGTTGGGGACTCAGCTAAGGACTCGTCCAAGCTCGGTAATAAGGCGATTAAAGGAACTGGAAAGTCCGCGTCGAGTTTATGGAATGTCGCTCGGAAAGCGGCAACGAAGCCGCAAGTAGTTGAGGTTGAACACCCTGACATTGAGGAGGCTGAGGAGCGCTCAGTCACTCCTTATCGCAAAGATCGCATCAAGGCTGGCGCACGGCGAAAGCTGACGATGCAAATGTCTGATTTTGGGCTGAACCTTTCTGCCACTGATCTTGGTATCCTCTTAAGCATTTTGGCATCTCTCAACGAGTCGATGAAAGAGGATATTGAAGTTATTAAGAAGCGAGAGGAGGGCGAAGCTCGTATGAAGAAAGCCAGGCGTCAAGTGGAAGAGAAGCGCTACATGGAACGACTCAAGGAGGAGTTTAAGCTCCGAGACACCGACGGCGGAGGAACTCTGGATGTATCGGAGATTGGAGACCTTCTACGAAGCGCAACTGACTGCGACAACTTGACTAAAACGGAGTTTGACGCGACGGTAGCAGATTTTGTCAGCATTGTGGACAGCGACGGAAGCGGTGATATTTCGCTTGAGGAATTCGAAAATGCGTTGAGCAGAAACAAAATCCTGTACACGCGTCTGCACCACCACGTGGTTTCCATCACTGGTCAGGAATACGTCAACCCGGATATGCAGCGAAACAAGGTGCCATATCTTTCTGGGGACAGTGCCAATACACTTGCCAATGCTGCAGCCCTCGCTGCCTTCTGGGAGCACTATGAAGAGCAAATAGGTGCATCAATGTCGTCACTCCAAGGCCAGCCACCTATCATTGTTCAGAAGAAAATGGTCCGTGCGTTCAAGAATTACGATTATGCTCAGGAGGCGTGGAATCGAATCGTAAAGCCGTCTTTGGTGAAGCCGGGAGAGCAGAGCCCTTGGCTGCTGACCAAGGAGATGGACATGGGAGGCCGTGGAGACGTGATCGACCAGTTGCTGTCAAGCCTAAAGGACGACACTCATGACCAGGCTTCTTTGAACCCGAAGTCTGTTGCCGAACAGCAGATTTTTGTACAGACTCTTGTTTCCACATCGTTCGGCGGTTTCTACTTGCGTTTGATTGATGAAATGTTGCCAATGGGAACACCGGCAATCGAAACGTCTCTGGAGGAACTGGGCATTTACGCTAATTTCTCACTGTGGGAGGGCGATTCTTCTAACCCTGCCACTGATCTCCATGCGCGAGAGCGATCCGAAAACAGCTTCGGTGTCGCCAAAATCAGCTTTGACGTGTACGGCAACTACTACAACACGAAAGCGCGTCAGACCGAGCCTTTCATCGAGTTCTATCAAGGCATTTTGGATATCCGGAAGGAACCTGCGTCTCCGTTGGAGGTGATCTACTCGTCAGACCGCTATTTCCAAATGAACGTCACGTCTGCATTCATGGAAGCTGTGAATTCGAACATGGCCACTTTCTCCAAGGCTGAACACCGTGCGGAAGCTGAGCGTCCACACGTTAAGGAGATTGGTGCTATCTTTTGGATGCTGAATGAAAGTGGCGTCAACGTTAAGTACTACATGGTAACGAAGAAGAAAACAAAGGAGCGTGTGCGAGAAGAAGTTGTGACAGCAGTCACCTCGGTGTCTACTGGTGGGGCACACGCATGTAAGCTATTGGATAACAGCGAAGCAGAGGAGTTCGAGCAACAGAGTTTGAAGGAGAAGCAGCTACGTCAAGCGTTTAGGGATGCCGACCAAGATGGAAGTGGTGAGTTGGACACAGAGGAAGTGCGCTCTGTGCTTCGAAGCGTGTATGAAGAGGAAGACAAGCAGCGGAGAACATCAGGAAAATCGTCAATTTACAAGCGTAGTAGCAGCAGTATCTTGGATAATGAGGCCGAGTTTGCCCAAGCTGTGGAAGACTTCATCGCTCTGGCCGACACGGACAAGTCCGGACAAGTGTCGTGGGAAGAGTTTAAGATTGCGATTGCTAAGTCTCGTGCCACAGTTGACCGCTACATCTCAGTTGAGATTGAAGGCTACCAGACGATCCATGGCGTGCCGTTGATGTCCATAGGCCAAACTCAAGTGTACGAATTGACGCCTTTTTTCGAAGACGTGGAGTCGGAGAAGTCGATTGAAGTGCTTTATGACCGCGGTGTGGCTCTACTAACGAAGGTGGAGGAGCCGACGCGCGAAGAGCTGCAGATGGCGTACGCTTGCTTGCATCGGGTAAAGGATCTCGATCCCAACTATGAGTGGATTGACTCTTACTACGCGGATTGCTCGCGGCAGTACTTACCTGTGCTGGCTGCTATTCACATTAGTGTTGATGGTTTGTACGGTCTCCAAGTGAAGGTTTCTGGTGCGGAATACGTTCGTAATGGAACTGCAAAGGACACTGAGCTGCAAATGTACAACGAAAAAGGAGAAACTGCGCGCTGCAATCCGGAGCAAAAGGACGGCGAAGAACGATTCTTCATGCTCCCTGCTCTTGGTACCATCAGCATTCCCTTAGATTTGGTTGGTGCTGGGTCTTTCGCTATTCGGCAAACTGGAGAAACAGAGTGGAGCAACAAATTGGAGCTGTCTGTCTCGGATCAGCGGTTGTACAAGAAAATGACAAAGTTTGAGCAGCTCGAGGCCCAGAAAGCTCTGCGCGGGGAAGGCAATGGCTCAGTGTCGTCTGCTAAGCGTGTGAAGGAAAAGCTGGGTACAAATGCTGCACTCCCCGACCCAAGTGAGTCTGTACCTGCTGGAAAAGAAGTTGTGTACCCTTCATCCAGTATTATCGACAACCAGCCGACTGTTGTGATCGAGAAGATTTCTACAAACAACCCCCAGCTAGGAACCTGGTCATTGACGATCCAGCCGCAGTTGGTGCTTCACAATGTTCTTCCTTGTGGTGTTGAGTATGCAATTGTGCAGCCTGATGATTGTCCGGCTGACACATTGACCAGTAAGGGAGATTTCCGGGTTGTGGACAACACTGGAAAAGACAAGAAGTCGCGAGCTGTGAAGACTCTGGGAGAGATCGACTACTTCACCTATGTGGATGAAGTAAACGGCCGTAAAATGTGGGTCGAGAGCGGCAAGACTATTCAAGTATTCGGTCTGGACTTGAACAAGCCCGCTTTGATGACGATGCGACTTTGTGCGAGTGAAACCAATCGAGCTGCGACCTGGAGCGCTCCATTCTTGCTGCACCTCGAAGCGGAGCGCGAATCATTCAACGAAGACGCGTTCGAGCTGCTGTTTGATGATGGTCCAAGTTTCGTTTTCCATCCGCAATGGGAAGAAAACTCTGCTCGCACAGTGTTCTTCTACTCCCCGTTCTGGATTCAAAACAGAAGTGGTTTGGACCTCCGCTTCAAGTTGTCTCGTGGACGTGTGTGCACTATTGAAGAGCACCGTGCATACTTCCCGAACGCCAAGGAAATTCCCGTGATGGCAACTGCTTCACCTGACAAGGCTCTGATTGGTATCCGTCCATTCCAAGAAACGCCACCCACGTATGAAGGCGAGTCCTTAGTGTCTGGAACGACGAAGAAATATCTGCCGGACTTCGAAAAGTTGGGGTGGTCTGAACCCGAGGATATGGCGACTGTGAGCAAGAAGGGAGAGTTGCGTCCGAGTGGGTCTGGAAACTATTCTTTCGTACTGGCATTTGAGATTCGGGCGGCACCAGCACAGTTTTTCCGATCAAAGATTTTCGTCATCTCGCCACGGTTTGTATTTCTGAACCGCGTGCCGCGGCCATTGGAGTTGACCCCGATTTTACTGGACAAGAAGGGAAACCGCAGCAGAAACCGTGCAGACCAGGCTAACTGCACTCTAAGAGAAGGTGAGGCAGTCGTGGTGTATCGTCTAAGAGGCCCCGAGAAGTATGTAGCCGGTCTGCGCATTCGTGACACGGCCAACGATACCCAAGACGTGGGCGAGTGGAGTCCGAATATGCCGCTGTTCAAACTTACTTCAAAGCTGAGTGATCCAAACGTGACCTACAACATGTCAGAGGACACGGTGTTCTGGACGCGTGGAAGCTTGGGTGATGGCCCTGCTTGCAGTGTGAATGTGCACGAGGTAGCAGAGACGGTATTCGCGACTGTGAGCGACATTTCGACCAACCCGAACTATCGTATTGAGAATCGCTCAACGCGCTACTCCTTCCGGTACGTGCAACACGGTGTAAAGACTGCGGAGGAAATTGTTTTGGGTCCTATGGAGAGCCATTCGTTCGCTTGGGAAGATCCGAAGGGTGACTTGGAACTGCGTGTGACGGCGACCCACTGGAAGGTGCCGACGTTGGTTGATTTTATGCAGATTGGTCTAGTGAAGAACGCGCCGCAGGGTCTCTTTGGTGAAGTGTACATCGACGGTTCTACACGAGTATTTGCGATGGGAGACACGAAGGTGTATTCTGAAGTGCGTCAACGTGCAGTCGTTAGCGACTGGCTCAGCAACACTGTGATTGATGTGTCGATGCACGGAGTTGGAATTACGCTGGTGGACGAACAACCTCAGGAGATTCTGAACATCACGATGGAGACTATTCGGTTCGACTCGAGGGCAGAGTCCCGCCGGGTTACGTTAATGGTCCATCACGTTCAATTCGATGACATGACCCCGCACTCTGCATACCCGGTCGTCTTTGCTCCCCTCGACAGTGGATTCAACAGCGACAAACGTGAGGGCTGGCTTCCCGGTGACGGCGAACGTCCATTCTTCACGCTCAGCTGTGAAACTCTCCCGCAAACTGGCATCGTCATTGTGAATGATTTCGACTTGCAGCTTGGGTCAATGGCAGTTAAATTGAACCTGGAGTACTTGATTGGGCTGAGTAACTTGGTCTTCCAGTTTATCCCGGGAAGCGACGAGGCTACTATCCTACAACAAGGCTTGGAAGCCAAGAATGCGATGCTTGTTCCGAATCTCCCGTTCCCGGATGGCTCTGTTTCAGCTGGTATGCTCATGTACTTCAGACGCTGGCACATGAGTGGATACGAATTCGACTTGGTGTTTGATTCGCTCCAAGAAGACAAGGGCGAAGGCATTTCCGCAATTTTGGGCAACACGTTGGGAAGTATCGTCGGTGGCATTGCTCACGTGACGCCAGAGTTCCACTTCGGTGACATTCTCTACCACAACCGCTTCTTCTACGAGTACGATTTGATCTATGACGTTGTGCTGAAGATCGTTCACTCAGTGATTGGGCAGTGGTACAAGATCGTGGGCAGTGTGGAGATGCTGGGTGATCCGGTTGGCCTCGCCACGGATATTGTTGATGGTTTCGCGCTCGCGGCGCGTCAATTGAAGCGCGATGTGAGGGGTAAGAGCCGCAGGAAGGGCGAAAGTGCTGTGACTGTCGTGCAAACTGTCTTCGGTGTACCTCTGCGCTCTATCGGAAAGGTGTCGAACGGTTTAGGTGACGTGGTGAAGAAAGCTACGTATTTTGAGAGCCAAGAGGATCCGAACGAGCCGCGGCACATTCCCGAAGGCTTTGTGCAAGGTGGCAAGGTGCTCGGAAAGAGCATTGCGTATGGAGTGACTGGTTTTGTAAAGGAGCCTGTGCGTGGAGCTAAGAATGGCGGTGTCAAGGGATTCGCGAAGGGTGTTGGCCGCGGTACGTTGCAACTCGTTGCATCTCCTGTTGTCGGTACTCTAGGTGTGGTCGAAAAGTTGTCGCAGTCAGTGAACAACACCACACACTTGATGGACGAAAAGCACTTTGAAGGTACTCGTCGACCTGCACGAAATCTGCAGGCAGGATCACTGAAGCAGCTTTCAGACTCGAACGTGATTACGGAGGTGGAGGTGCACTGTTTGTACATCGATGGACTACCTGACAACGTGAACCCGAAGGTCGTGGTGCGTGTTTACTCGCAGACGGATGGCTACCCTGCGAAGGAGCTTGGGGAGTACAAGTCGTCGACGGCGCGACACACTGGCACACCCAAGTATGACCAGTCGTGGCTGATAGGAGTGACATCGCTGGACACGTTCATCGAGGTGAACGTCTACCACAAACGCAAGCCGCTCCCCAAGAAACGTCTGGGTTTCGTTCGCTTCTCCATGGAAGAAATCTATCGCGACTTTGAGTCGGTACCCGCAAAGCTGCTGGCAGATACGAATGCCAAGATGCAGCTGAAGCGCCGCAAGCGAGTACGCGGAAGTATCATCAGCAAATTGGCTTCGGCCAGTGAGCGTCCAGTGGAGATTCGTGACGACTCGTGGCGTCAGCGACTCAATCGCCCGCCGAAATCAGGCAGTAGCATTTTGTCGGAGGACGAAGACGAAGGGTTCGAGGACTACGACCAGGAAGTGAGCGTGTTGAGTGGGCACTCGATTTGCCTTGATGGCACGTTCCCGCCCTCACCTGTGGAGATCCCATTGCAGGAGTGTGAATCGAAGGCGAAGATTTACCTGAGCATCCGCTATGTGAACGACATGCGACGATACGCGTAAGCCGTTGCGCGAAGTGATAGCGTAGCAGACTGAGACGCAAAAGGAACGTCTTAGAAATCAACACAACTGCATATCTTCTTCGGGTTTGATCCGTAGTATTCTTACTTCCCCCCTTTGTTTTTTTACTACTACTGATGGATGTACTACGAGATATAAAATTTGTATTACTTTTGGTACTACTTCTAGTATTATTTGTTTTCTGTCCGTTGTTTTGGGACATGAGAGCTGGGATGGCATTCAGACGAATAAAAGCCATTAAAAATTTAATGGATTTATTTCGTCTGAATGCCATCCAAGCTAATTTTATTACGACCCAAAATTTGACCCCGTTTAATTGGGTTCCGAATAACCCAAATAAACCATGTCGTTGGATGGCATTCAGACGAAAAAAAACCATTGACATTTTAATGTTTTTTTTCGCATCTAAGAATATTTCTTTACGCATATTTTACCGTTACGTTATTTACCCCCAGCTTTTTGACTCGACCAAGGTGAAGAGATGGCGAAGCGAGTGTCGGCCGTGGCGCATGGCGCGCTGCAGCGGTAAGCACGTTTTTTTTTTCCACTGATGCATTAGCTGAGTGTTGCTCACTATTTAAGGCGTTTGGGTTACCGTAGACTGCCGTATGTGCGCACGGCATCGGAGATCCAGGAGATGAAGTTCTGGCGGGCACCTGTGCGCGAGAGCAACCGCATCGTAGACCCCATCAAGCGCGCTAAAAACCACACATCGCGCCTGATCAACATGCAGCTAGGAAAACTCTCGAGTATCACGCGCCAGGCCTCACTGGACTTCCCGGCGCTCAGGCGTATGCACGCGTTCGAGCGAGAGGTGGTGGTGCTAACGCTGGGCCAAGGCACGTACGAGAAACACATTCAGAAGCTGCGCAAAGTGTACGCGATGTTGCACAATACGGGCAAGCAGTATGAGCGCGAGTGTCAAGAGCTGCGCACCAAGCAGGAGGCGGTCGACTGCGGATTGCGCTGTGTAGAGGTGGGATCCGGAAGAAAAAAATATTAGTGTCGTATGTAGTAGCTGAGTGTTAATGGTGCAATGTTGTAGGAGCTCAGGAAAATTGTGGATGTTAATGCTGGCACACTACGGGAGGCGGCGAACATGGCCAAGGTGCTTCGTGGACTTCCTCATGTGGACCTGGACAAGCCCATTTTTGCCTTCGTAGGAGCACCGAACGTTGGTATGTTGGAGTTCTTCTCTTAGTACTCTCCATGTTTGTATTTATTGTCTCTCGCGCTTCATTGTATGTGCTATTGCTAACAGGAAAGTCCTCTTTAGTTCGTGCACTGTCTACTGCATCTCCAGAGGTAGACACCATTGCGCTGATTTACTGCAGTTGTCCCATACCGACCACTAGTTGCCAACACCACCGAGGACTCACACTTTATCGTTCTACTGTCCAGGTGGCAAATTACCCGTTCACAACGCGTGGCATCACGATGGGCCACATTTTCGAGGAAGGGATTTCATATCAGGTAATGAGCGTTGACAACCATTTAGCAAAGTCCACGTCTTACCGGAACATTTTACAGATTGCTGACACCCCCGGACTGATCTTCCGTCCTGACGAGACCCGAAATGCCATCGAAAAATTGGCAATTGCGATGATGGAGAAGACGCAATCTGTGCGTTGTGCTGCTCAATGCACGTCGTTTGTATCACTTTAACATCTTGCTCTACGTGCTCGCTTGCAGTCGATTGGCTTTGTGTTCGACCCCACGGGCTCATCTGGTACCCCGACAGCCGACCAGATTCTACTTCGGGATGAACTTCGCCACCGAGTGACGGCAGCTCGTCCTGAGCACAAGTGGATCGACATCATCTCGAAAATTGACCAGCCGTCGCACGATTTAGCGTCGCTGAAAGACAGGTGCGTGCAAGACGGCCCTCATACCTTCAGTTTCCGTTTGGAGTTTTCATTTTTTTTTCATACTTTGATACAGGTTGGGAGCGTGTTTTTCTGTTTCAGCGCAGACAAACGAGGGCCTGGTGGAGCTGGGAGACGGAATTCGTCAAGTTTTGACCGAGTCCGCGTGCGAAGACGGCTTCTTGGAGTCGAAGTAACATGAAATACCATTTTTGCTACTGTTCGCATGCGTTAAGACTTGCTGGGTGTGTATGTCATAATGCACCCCTGTCTTCTTGCTAACTGTACATGAAGTTTTCGTATAGAGGTAGGCAAACCAAGCAGAAATTGAGTCCAGGATCCCACAAGATGTGGCTGAGTGCAACATTTGAACCAGACTACAGTATCGGATCCGAAGTCGGAACGATAATCCACTAATAATGTCAACGTGATACTATATTTGCGAGTATTTTCCAAGCTTTTTCTGACTTTTGTTTAATAAATCTATAAAGGTTATACAATTTCCTGTTGTAGTAAAACAAGTACTGTTTGTTGGCTGCCTATCAGTGCTTTTTTCTTTTTGAGAAGAGCACAAGCTGACGAGAGGAGAAAGCGACTCGAGCACGGCAGAGACCAAGAGAAGAGATGCTGGGGAAGAAGGCGCTGGAAGGCATCGCTTCCTACAAGTACAAGGCGTAAGTTGCTGCGGGTGGACTGCGGGAAGAATGCACCGGTCGCTGACTTTGTTGCTCTGTTGTTCACTACAGGGGAACGTACACGTATCTGGACAATGTGCTCAACCACTTCTGGACGTACTCCGTGCAGTTCCTGCCCATCTGGATGGCGCCCAACCTCGTGACGATGATCGGTACGGGCGCCATGATGTTCACTACAGTGGTGCAGCTCTACTACTCGCCCCACTTCTCTGAGACCTGCCCCGCTTGGGTGCGTAGCTACCCTTTATTCCCTAAACAATCGCTATACTAACTGCTTTCTCATCTCTCTGCAGGTCTACATCCTCTCGGCGCTGGGACTCTTTTTCTACCAGACCATGGACGCGCTAGACGGCAAGCAGGCGCGTCGCACTGGCGCTTCGTCCCCGCTGGGTCAGCTCTTTGACCACGGCTGCGACGCTGTCTGCACGGTCTTCAACGTGCTGAGCGCCGCTGCCACGTGCCAGGCTGGCGTCGGTCTCCGTCCGTACATTGCGCTGTCGTCCGTGTCCATTGCCTTCTACTTGGCGCAATGGGAGGAATACCACACAGGCGTCATGAGCTGCGGCAACGGCTTCTTCGGCGTCACGGAGGGACAGCTCACGTTGGTTGCAGTTCACCTGGTAGCGGCCTTCTTCGGCGCAGGCTTCTGGACGGCAGAGGTTCCTATCCCAACGCCGTTCCCTGTGACCATGACGGACGTTCTCATTGGTGCACTGGTGGCGAGTAACGTTTTGTTGGCGTACGGTAACATCTCGAACGTGCTGCGGGCGGCCCCAGACGCCATTCCACGCGACGAGCTGGGCAACAAGCACATCTCCAAGCATCTGGCACTCATCCAGCTGATTCCTATTGGCATTCTACTGGTGCTAGGGTCGCTCTGGATCTGTGGCCCTGACGCGGACAACTATGCGAACTACCCGGTGTTGTTCCTGTTCCCGATTGGCATCGGCTATGTCTTCTTCTCGGTACATTTGTTTCATTGCGAAGTTGATATTTCTTCTTGCAGTTCTGATCGCCTTTAATGTGTTTCTGTGCTTTGTAGACGCGAATGATCGTGAGTCACATGTGCAAGATCCCATTCACTCCGCAGCTTCGTGTCATTATTCCTTTCGGCTTCGTCATCTTCAACGCCTACGGACCTGCTGTGGGGATCCTCTCCAAGCCGCTGATCCCTACTATTGTGGCGTCGTCGTTGTATGTGGTCTTCATCGTGGTGGTGTACTTGCACTTCGTCTCTGGTGTGGTGAAGGATATTTGCGACTTCCTCGACATTTTCCTTTTCAAGCTCAAACCGGCCGCGACGGAATCGGAGAAAGCCAAGTAGAGCAACATGGATACATCACACCTCAAGTCAACTTGTAAGCTGACAAGCGCGGCTTCAATTCTGCAAGGCGGTCTTGGATTGAATCCACCAAAAAGAACAATAGAATGGAGAACAAAACAAACAGAAGCACGTAGTTAGAATCACTGCAGCCGCTACTCTTTGGTGTCTAGAAATCCCAATTCCAGTCGTCTGCTTTTGCGTTGGCAGTGGAATCCAATTTCATCGCCCCCAAAGGTTCATGCTTCGTCTTCGCCTTTGCTTGAGCTTCTGCGCGACGTTCGCTCGCTGTTTTCCTCTGCGTAGACAACCCACTAGACGACCCTGGTGCACTAGCGATGGATGTCCTCGTGGACGTATTCAATCCACTACCACCCCCACTAAGAGCGTTCGCCTTTGGCGCTGACACATCAAAATCCAGGTCATCGCCGCCCCAGTTATCATCTCCCCATGCACTATCGTTATTCATCGCGAAAGAAGAGGACATCGACGTCGTATTCGTTGTCAAGGACGGTACTCCAGCGCCCACATTGCGCGAAACACTTAGTTTGACCGACGAAGACGACGATGACAACGACGCTGATAGTGACGATGCTGCTGGGGACGTGAATGAAGACGAAGGCCCTCGGTTCACCGACAACGACGTACCAGAACCTGAACTGGTTCGCTTCGGACTATCCAGGCCGTCCAAGTCGTCGTCATTCCCCCAACCGTCCTCAGCGAAATCATCGACTGGGAACGCGTTGAAGCTGTTGTGCTTGGACGACGGCGCGGATGAGGAGCTAAATCCATTGGTCTGGTTCTTGTTGCTAGAGAAGGAGGACGAACGTGACGATGGAGCGGCAGCGGTTGATCCTAGAGTCGAAAGTGAGGACGATGACCCGCCAGAGCCGACCAGCTTATTAACGTTCGAAGCAACAGCCGAGGAGGCCCATGCTGTCAAAGAAGAAGCATATCCGCCCGAGCTGTGACCACCATTTGAGGGTGGCGGGGTGACCCCAGTCCCGACATTACCCACATGGTCACCCTCGCCCGAGACGCGCTTCAATTCACGTTCCTTGGCTTCCAACTCTTCCCGAATCTTCATCTGGGCAGCTTCATCCATGACCGTCTTCATGAAAATATCAATCGACGTTTTGGCTTGCTCTCGGACAGAAATCGACACGTCCAAAAGAAGAGGTGAGATCGCTGGGACAATGCTGCCAGCCATTCCTTGCGGTGTAAAGTACTCCTGCATAATAGTCGTAGTTCACGTTAGCATGAGACCTACCGGTCCCGTATTTAAGCAGTCACTTACTTGGCACGCAGTCATCGAGCGAAGTCCAGCAAGACGCGCATGAGGGAAGGGATCTCTCAACGCTCTCGCGAAAGCTGGAAATAACACCTTCGGTCTTGTTGCATCATTGAGTTTGCTGGCAATCTTTCCCAGACAAATCGTAGTGTTTGTTCGGATAGCTGGCTCCGGATCAGACTGCAACAACAAATCCATTAGCCAGGTAAGTATAGAAAAACTCAAGATCAGCCTACAACTTCATGCACCCCAACGCACCTGCAGCTTTGCAAAGTATTTCATGACACGATTGTTGAGGTTGCTGTCTGACAGCTTGTCGGCGATGTGTAGCATTGACTTGACCGTAAGCTCCCGCAAAACAGGAGCAGCGTCAGTAAACCCACTGCACAGGTTGTCGAAGACAACAGAGCTGTTGACTAGCTTTGCGTCGAAGTGGACAGCGAACTTCTCCATCATCTGCAGTAGCTGCACACGGACAGCGCGATCACTGCAACTAAACAGCTTGATGATGATCGGAAGCACTTCCGCCTTAAACTCTTCAGCGGACAACGAACTGCCGATCTGTACCATGGCCGGGAGCATGTGGCTAGCCGACGGGTCTAATTTCACAGGTCCATTCTTCGCGCCAGTGGCTGCACCGAACTCCACAACCTGCTTCAGTGCTGGGAGAATCTTGTGCACTCCAAAGCATCGCGGTAACGTCTCTAGATTGGCGCACAGCTCTTTGTAGAATGCCACCTTCTCATCCGAGTCCTTGACCGCCAGATTCTCCAGAAAATCCATCCGTTTGATAAACGGCGTATCGAAATAACTGCAGCTCAGCATTTTCTGCGGACTCGGCCGTCGAGCAGCGTTGTCGTCGATGGCCTTGCGGAAGTGAGTCCGGATTGCCGGCGGAATATTCGCAGCTGTCGACACGTCACTCGATCGGAATTGGCCGTCGTTGAACACGTAGAACATGAGACAGGCAAATGCCCAGATATCCACGCCATAAGAAGGTCCGGTGGCCACAGCCTTCCAGTCGGAGCGTTGGCATTCTGCATAAACATACTGGTGACTATAATGCTAACAGTGCATTTCTTTGCTTGAAGCTGACGCACCTGGTGACTTGTAGTTGACGTCCGCGTACTGCTGGAAGGCTGTGTAGATGTATGAAGGACCATCGCTTGTTATCTCGGCTGTAAGTTCGAATCCTCCCAGCTTCCAGTCGCCACCCTGTCACATTTGTCAGCAACTATTAAAGAATTATTGCCAATTGAGTTCTTCTACCTTGGTGACAAAGATACTCTGCGGAGTCAGGCGCCCGTGCAGCAGTTTGCAGTCCACGTTGATGAATTGCAGCGCCATGAGGATACTGCGCAGTCCCCAGGACACGCACATACCGAACTCCTCGCTGTTGGCGCCATACTCCATGCGCAGCGCCGTGAGAAACTCGGACAAGGGCATGACATGCTCCGTAACAATGATGACAGGCCCGTTGTTAGGCACCTCCGTGCCGTCCAGATAGGCCAGGATGTTCGGGTGGCGAAGCGTCTTGATACGACGCAGCGCGTTCTGTGTGAGCTGCCCCGCTGGCTGTCGAGACTTGAAGATGGACACAGCGTGCGACGGGTCCTGCTTGCTCTTGCCGGAGTGCAGCACGAAGTCTGGCAGCCCCTCGAACACGACGCTCTCCCCTGCAGCTCCACCAGCCGCGACGTTCCCGTCCATGGCTGGTGCATCCATAGAGTAGGGCAGTCCGCCCGTGGAGCTGGACCCCACCAAACCTCCAAGAGTCTTGAGGAAGTTCATGCTTCTCCTTCGCTTCCTGCGGCCTCGTCGACTTCACCTGTGCCCACGTGTGTCTTCGCAGTTTATGGATAATCGATTGGAAGAAATAACAATTGAAGCGCTACGATTGGCTAAAATTGTAGAGTCTGATATTCATGCGACGTGTGACAGTAATGTGACGATCTACGCGTCCAAAAAGCTCTTGACGGCGTCGATCAGCTCGGCCTTCCGCCCCACAGCAGCGAGGCCGTGGGCATGCAGGAAGGCCTTCAACTGAGCGACAGTCTTCTTCTGGATCACGTTGGACGCCACGAGTGCAGCCCACTCGTTCTTGTCGAACGTTTCCTCCGCCTCCGGCTTGTTCGCTGAGCCTGCCTTTGCCTTCGCTGTCTTCTTCGTTGTCGACTTGCGCCCGCCCGAGGCCGAAGACTACGCAACAAATAACAAGATCAGCTGATGACGCAGGTAGCTTAATTGCTGAAAGCAACTGACCTTGCGCTTCGCGGCAGTTGAGACGTCGATCAAGTCTCCACCGCACACGTCTCGGAAGTTGGTAATCGCATCCTGAATGGGCGGAATCATAAAACGTGATGAGCCACACGGATATCGCACCAATACCCGCTTCCTTCTTACCTTCACTTCTTCTTGACTGAAGCCATCAGCATCTGGAAGAGTCGTGTCTTTGTTTTCATCGAATTCCAGCGCTTCCTCATTCAGGGCGAGAGCTTGAATGGCAGCGTAGTGTTTTTGAAGTTCTGCAACGTGGCATACAACAGTCGGTCATTTTCGTATTTTACTTCGAGCTCCCCATATATTCACGAAAACGCACCTGGGTTCTCGAAACTTGGTGCTTCCGTCAGCTTCAGCTTCGAGATTAATTGTTTCGCCGCTTTAATCTTCTCCTGGTCCACTGAAAACAATACAAATCGATTCGGAAATATTAGTAGGCTATTTACACTTTTCTGCATATATCTGGATAATATCTTACCGTTCATCACTGGGTCCACAGGAACGTCACGGATATCGTCCAGATACGGCAAGAAGATGACGTTAAACCCTGACGGCTGCACTTGACCCATCTCGTCGTTCTCTTCCTCTTGGGGAACCAGCGCCACCAGACGAGGTTCGCTTGTTTTCCGGGCAATCAGTCTCGCCAACGCAAATTTCTGCTTCCGGACCATGGAATTTAGAATCGCCATAAAGGCGGTCGAGCTGCCTTCGATGTAGCCGTCACACGGGTACACGAAATAAGGCGAACGAATGTTTTCGTTCCACTTGAGAGAGTTCAATGGCTTGAAGCAGATCAACTGGAGTCCGGGGGCGTCGTAGTGCTTGATCTCCACCACGTCATCTCGAGTGAAGTATACGCGCTTACCGCCGTAGTCAATGTATTTTTTGATCTGATCCGGGGTCAGGTAAGCTCCTGTGTCTTCGCAGAGCCATTTGGTCTCAGTCTTGAGTGGGGTATTTGTGCTCGCGTCGAGAGCCACGGGGGTGTTTTTGCGCTGGACAACCACCAGCGCGTACAACTCCACACCAATTGACACGCCTTTCGTGATATGGAGAGGGAACGTTGTAAGCCGGCGCTTGCGGAACCGTTTGCGGAGAGATCCGTCCATGAGATCATCAAGCGAACTGACAGGAAATGCTGGCTGGAAAGTGGCTTCGTCCTCGACATTTTCTTCATCTTCTTCAGCTGAAAAGTCCTTAAAGTTGCATCCGTAGAACTTCGCCAGATCAAAATTCTCCTTCCCAGGCGGTGTAATGTAAAATAGATTCAGTGTACGCTTCAATTCAGTGTGGTTCTGTTGCAAGATGAATTAGTTGACTGCATCAAGAACAAATGCATACTGATTACTTACCTGAACTTGCTTTTGAATCCGCCCGACTTCTTCTGCGTCTGGACCTTCCGGGCTGTCATCATTTGTGAATATCCAGATACGCTGCGAGTCTTTCTTCTTCAAGCTGTACATGCGAAAGTGTGAGCAATAGAGCACTGTAGTTCTACTAGTAGGGTGATTGCGTACTTTGCGTTGGAAAAGGAAATCCCACATTGCCACAATGCGTTGCTAAATGACAACTTGTCCGAGTTCTGCATGGACTCAAATTCCGACTGAATGTCTGCTTCCAGTAGAGCCTGCAAATGTTCAAGAGAAGAAATTAGCAATATGCAAACTAAGTAACTGTGGTCATTGCAACAAACCTGAAGGTCCTTGATCCGCTGTGCCGACGGGAATCCCAGCGGTTGAAACTCGTAGACTTGCTCTAATGCACCTGCTTCTCCACGTTTGTTCTGTATGCGAGGTCAGTAACAACAGAAAGACACGAACACAACCAGGAAACGCACTCACCGTCCCGAAGAAGACGACGCTTAGCAGAGAATTATCATTCGCGACCACTTTCGACTTAAGAAGCTTGATCACAAGCTCCACAACAGCGTGGAACCACGTGGATGGAGCCTCTGCTGTCGCGTGTGGGTATGGGGAGAACATGGCCTTGCGCACATCCAGTAGCACGATCAGCGCGTCCTTCCCGCTCTCAGCGAGCTCCCAGTCGTCCTCCTCCCCCACCACCAATGTATCCTTAGCCGCCGCGTTCTGACTGCCCCATACGTCCATTTTTGCTGCAGTTGTTGAACCGGAATTGACTTGGAGATAATATGGATCTTGCAAAATGGCTACAAAACTCGAGTAAAATATTGTTTTTTGTCTTACAGTTATTGACTTACTACAGTTGGGCCACTAGATTCTCATTCGGAGAAGACTCTCGCTTGGAGCGGCGACTGTGGCCTGCGCTCTCTCATGAAGAGCACGTAGCATCGACTTGGTTAGCCGGGGATACTCCTTCGACTGGAAATTGCGCTCGAAGCGATTGCTGTGAGCATTTAGCTCCTCGAGGAGCCCCGAGCAGGACGAGATCCCCGCAGCAGCGAGGCGACGACTGAATGCTTGTAGATCGTCTGCCCGCCACATGAACCCCACACGCAGACATTCGAGCGTCGATAGCAACGACTGAGAGCAGTCAATGGAGCACGTGTTGGCAACACTCGAGGAGGATACCAGCTTGGAATTGTCTACAGGATCGTAGTTTACGACACTATCGTAGGTGTTCTTAATCGCTGGCCATTCTGGAATCACCCTTGACGAACTGGAGGAGACGCCTCCATCCTTCCATGCGTCCATTATTGTCGGGTACTGTTGCTGAAGGTTTTCTTTCTGCTGAGCACCGCTCGAACGATACAACAGCCCGCAGAACTCGTCTGCCGTGTATGTGCAGGTCTCCCACTTCTGCTCGTACTGTTTTTTGAGTGCGTCGAATTCCTCTAGCCACTGCTTCTCGAAGCGTTCATCCTCTAGCTGCTCGCGAATCAGCTCATCTTCGTCCCCGTCAATCTCTGCTCGTATTTTGGACTTGACCTTAAGAAGCGCACCCATAATCCCGCTCTTCCGAGCCTCAGTCACCAAGTCAACCGAGTCAACGGCATTATCATTGCCGGTCCCTGTGCTTACTTCAGCTACCGAGCGAACTGAGTCAAAGGCCTTTTCGCTGTCGGTCTTTGAACAGACTTCATCCTTTAAAGGGGCATCGATTGGCACACTGCGCGAGAATGACAATGTGTTTTCACCTCTGCCAGCATTCCGCAAAAGGGCAAGAATGTCTTCCACCTTCTTCCCTTCGCAATCTTCCCCGTTCACTTTAGTTAGAATATCCCCAAGCTGTAGACAAGCCAAGGCCTCTCGGTTTTGGTTTTTCGCGAGAGGACTCGCCGGATCTTCCACGAAGCCATCGACAGCTAAGAAATCGACACTACTGTCGATTCTAGCTACCTTCGCGAAGTAAATGCCGAATCCCTTGTCTGTCTTCTCGATCTCAATGTCTAATTGCTGCACATCCATCCGGGCTCCCAATTATAATTATTAACGCAAAAGATCCTTTCAGTAGTTTATCGGAAACGTATCCTACACGGCACGAAACGTCACATGATCTGATTGGTCAAAAACAAAAGTAACTGTTAAAACGGTCGTTTAAAACAATTGTTTAAAACAATTTTGAATGCTGCTTTAAATAGTGGGTCATGCTTGAAAGTCTTGATCTCTGCCTTCTGCTCTTAGGGTGGTTGGCATCATCACCGTGTCGCTCTGCCACGACCAGAGTGGATTGAATCTGGGACCCAGAATCATAATTCCGACCAATAGGATGCTCGACCAAATGATTGGCTGTGATGGATAGCAGCTGCCTTAATTTTATACGGTTTGGCTGAGAATATGTCTATTTCTACTAAATTTTATAACATTTGGCTGGGAATGTGTCCGTTGCACAGAACTTTGTACGCTCCCATATCCTAACAGATTCCAGACCCGTGCATAACATAGAGAAAAACACTGCCACGGTTGCTCACACCAGAAACAATTGTAGACGTTGCTAAAGATGAACAGCGACCTTTCACCAATGCGAGCTCGGCCAAAATGGCCGAGCACTTTGAGAGGAGTATTGATACGAGGTTGATATAGCTTCTCTGATCTTTAAGAACTATTATAACAAATAATTCATTCATGTTATACTGCCTTGCATTTCTTGCCATAATCGCATCATAACTCTTTTTTATGTGAAAAACGAAATGTAACGACCCGATGTCCACATGAACATACTCTGCGTCAGGTTACAACACACATGTTTCAATGACTTATCGAGTTATGATTAACAACCGCATTATTGTAGACAGTATCGTTACTCTTCCACCTAAAAGACATATACTGACGCTTATTCTTTCCCTACTACCTTTCATTGCAGTATCTCACTGGAGAAGCATTTGAAGCCAAATGCCGTGTTAATATATTCTCTTTTGTCTATTTGTTATGCGCATTTCTGGCAACCAATTGCTGCTACGCGATTGACGTAGGCAAACACATCATATTTCCAGAGTACTGTTGTTTATATACTGTTAGTGGGGCTCTCCACTGACAATCGGGATTTCCGTATCCAGAGCAGTTTAAAGCGGCGAAAGCACTCCAAATGCTAATCTGATACTCTACTTTTGGGACGGAAGTGTATCGGTACGCAAAGACTAGAACTAAACACTAACTATGGAATGTAGTTGATTAAGTCGGTCAACTGACAAATTGAACTCATTTCGTCCCCATCCGGTGTTACTCATTCCGCTCGGCGTTACCAGCGTAGCGTGGCTGTCACGAATGCTACACGCGCAAGCAGTTGGACTCAAATGACCACACGCTCCAAAACATCAGGTACCTTGGCTACTGAGCCTCAAATAACATATGCATAACAGAAAAACCGTTATTACGCAATTTTTGCGAGCTTAACTGTTTGAAAAACACGTTGACGTAAGGCCCCATAAAACACAGCTAAACTTTGCTTGCGAATAAGCATGAAGCCTTGTTCTCTAATGCCAACCATCAGCGTAGTGGAGAAGTTTTGCGCTCCAGTACAGGTAAATGAGCAAAGTCTTAAAGAATTGGTTGCACCTCCCAAAAAAGCTGCGGGCCCCATTAGTCGCATGTAGGACGGAAAGTCCCCGTGATTTGGCGGGACCGGAGGGGCAAGCGCAACGCTGCGATGGCCCCGAACGACAGCTCACGAGTGGCGCACGCAAAGGCCGTGCCATAGCGACACGAGCGGCGCTATGCCGTAGTCTTTCTGAGTCACACCGTGTGCCGCCAAGGGGAGGCCCTGTGTAACATATGCGCGCAAAGTATGACATCCAGGAGTACGCGCCTCGTGGTCACGTAGATTATGGCACAGACGAGTCGGCAGCGTCACTGGAGGTAACACTGCGGCTTCGAGGATGGAGCGGCTGATAACTACGTAACTGAGAGGGGGGAAAGTCCTCAGACTACGGTGGCGCTGGAGTGGTGCTCAATTCTACAGGGTGGACATATCGAGACGACAGCCGACAAGGGCACAGGCTTCGTTAGGCTAGCTAAGTGAAAACCGAATCCTATAACAAAAAAATGTTGGAGCGCGGACGGAGCTTACAAAGTGGGACGAAGTGGTTTAGACTTTCCAATTGATGCTACGGTGTCACGACATTGGATTTGCAGTTGGTGACATGAGATGATTGTTGACTTGGTGGATGCTTCCCTGACCACAACCTTATGACTCGAACGGAAGCTGGGATGTGCGGATTCTGTGGAAGCATGTTGTCGCCTGGATAGCGATAGGCCCGAACTTACTAGGAAAGCGTGCTTGTCAAAGATGTATATTCAGGAATGCAAAGAGACCCTTCAGTCTAGGCTCGGACTTTCACTTACGATGAGTACCTAAATGCTGGTGTAACGTTGTCCTAGAGAACGTATCCCTAGTCTACCTCCTCTCGCCGCAGTCCTGACCAACAAGAATAAATGCCACCTGCCCAGCCCAGAGTGAATCCGACCGCAAGATCCGCGCTGGATGCATCAAGGTCGTGAACACCCAAGATGAACGACAAGGCACGCTTACGAGTGAGTGGTACAAACTATGTTCGCCAGAAAGGACCCGTACAATGATCCTGTGCCAGGACGAACACTGCTCACAGCTCTTGTGCCAAGATGAACGGTGTACACAATTTTCTCACCAGAATCCACGTCGGCAAGATCGTTACATACTGAAGTCAAGAACTTCTCCCAGATCGTGCTGGAGTCAAGACCAAGCCCGGCTGGATGTTGACTTCCATATTGAGACCAAGATAACTATACTGAAGACAACGCATTAGAAGAAGTATGTTAAATGATATAAAGAAGAGAAAAGAAGTCAGAAGAATAAGACATATGATCTATTGATAACTTTAAACAGAGTTGGTTTTGCCGTGTAGAACACAAACATTCTGTTCTGTACAAACCAGGTGGGAAGCGCCGCATGGAAGAAGAAATCAATCCGCCTGCGTCCCCACACGGATGGGCAAGTTTGGTCAAGAAGGGGAAAAACTAACGAGGACCCTCATCGGGAGGGCCCTCATACAAACGTGCAGTGGGATAGTCAGCTGGGGTAGTCAGTAAGTACCAATATCGTACCGGTATTAATCCCGTTCCCGTTTCAAAAACCGTTCCCGTTACTTTCATATCTCCCTCCAAGGCCTCAAATGGAGACACTACCAACAGGGCCATTGCTCCCCCATGGCTATCTGCCTGTTGGCCTTGTGCTGCCTGACACTGTGGTCCCGTCACTCTTAGCGGAAGCCAAGGCGCGTTCGTAAAACGGTGTCTTCAATCGCGTTGGAGGTGAAGACGACAACTTTCGACAGCAATCACGCGTGAACCCTCGCTCCATGTCGTCGTCGCTACAAGAGTTGAGCAAGGCTCTGAAGGTGGTGGTTGCCATGCTGCATCCTGGGTGGGAACCCGGTGTTTTCTCTTTCATGCGTTTGATGCCGGCGGGCTCGGAAGAGGAGCCCCACCAAGACTATCAAGAGAGTGACTTGTAAGAGCCCGTGAGCATCATCCGGGCGGTGTTCCTGCCAGCATGGTTTTTGCACTGGAGCCTGGCACGAAGCTTCGCATCTACGTCGGTTGCTTTACTGCGAGAGACGACTCCAAGGCGCGAGTCGTGGAAAGTCCTGTTGGATTCTGTGTGCTGTTCAGGGGCGACCTTATTCACAACGGAATGCCATACACCACGACGAACTACCGCCTTCACTGCTACCGGAGCTACGCGGGGATGAAATGGACACCGGATATCGTTCAAGACGCGCTTCCTCAACATGGTGAGCGTCAGTATTGTGGCGAAAAGGTGGAGAAGGGTCAAGCGCTTCGGAAACATCGGTTCTATTGTGAGAAGAACCCCATGGGGGCTGAGAATCGACTGAAGCGCAAACGCGAGTACAAAAAAGGTGAGTACAAGTGTGAGGTTTGCGATAAGGTGTTCAAGCACCAGAGCTCTCTACGCGTCCACAAGATGAGAGAACACTCTGCTTAATATTGTAGGTTTGAAGGGTAATATTGAATAAACGGAATATGACGACCACCTGATTGGATAAATACCAATTACACTTGGATTTAATTGGTCGAGAACTTCAACTTGGTACCGCGTTCCCGTTACAATTTTTCAAATTAGTACGAAGGCTCCCTGTGTTCACTGTGGTTTGTTGTTTAGCGGTGTCGTGTGCAATATACTGGTGGATTTACAAATGTGTTTATACAACGCCTATTCTTCTGCTATGTTCTGCTCTGAGTAAGGTGCTCTTCCTGCATAACCCCAGGACCTGGCTGGTAAAAAAGCGGATTCAAATGGCACAACTTGGTCATCTGCTTGAGTACCGAAAACTTGGGGATCCTGCGCGGCATTCTGTGTAGCATTTGGGGGTGTGGTAGGGTGATTTTGATCGACTCGTTCGCTGTATGTCGGGTCACGGCCAGTTCCTGTACTACCTTGGTTTGTTAACCTCATTCTGCGTGTGATTTTCTTGAACCTACCTTGTTGCAGAGTAGCAGGGTCTTGTATTCTTTGAGGGGCTGTACCATCATTGCGGTAAATCCACCAGTGTTTGTCGAAATCATTCGGAGTGATGTACTTCTTCCATTTGATTCGATGATTGCAATAAGCTCGTGGAGACAGGGACGCCCATGGACAGCATGGAATTCCCCCGAGCATGCACCGCGTTCAATATGACCATTGACCATTTTCTCCGCATCCGTCCACAATCTCTCTGTCTCTCTCTCAAAGCGTTCCTCGTGATAATCCTGACAACCCGATTGTATCTGCTCTTTTGTAGCAAATGAGGACCAACAGTTGCATGCTGAGTCATGAGTAGACTTGTTTCGAAAGCAGCAATTGTCCACCAGCTTAACAGCTTCTTGAAAACTGTGTACAGATCGCCTTGGCTTGATTTCAACTTGACTTTGATCTTGGCATGCGTTCCCTCGACTGTAGATGTATCTCGGACCCAAAAGTGGGTGTACTTGCTTGTGCAGTATCTCACAATGCGCGACTTGTACTTCCACCAATGCAAATCCAGATAGTCAGACACCACCTTACTCTTTGAAACGAGAAGCTTGCGCTTTTCTTCAAACTCCGTTTCTGAGATTGCCTCCACTGCTTCGTAGAACGTAGCCATGAAGGAATTGGTTTCCCAAGAGTTCTCCTTCTTTGGTTGTCCCGGAAGTGGGTTCTCAACGTCTACTTGGCCTAAGTGCTTTCTGGCCATACTCTCCACGTTCTTGTTCTAGTGAGAATAACATTGGGAGGTTCAATATCGTTCTCAATCATGAAGAGACGTAGCATGTTAAAAGCCCACACGAAATCTTCCTCTTTCTCTCCAGAAAGCCAGCATTGAGCCACATGAAGAACCGTATTAGCTCCGGTTACCACAATGATGTTGAGCAGCGGGATTCGATGCTTGTCCGTCTTGTAGGTGCAGTCGGCAACTAACACATCGTGGTGAAGCTTGAAAAGCTCAGTGGTGTCCGGATGAGCCCATGTGAGGTGGGTTAACTCGCTTGTTTCGGGATTGAAACGCCACTTGTGAAAGAAGTTGTGCTTTCGAAGCTCAACGAATAGAGCTTCTATCGCTGTATGAGAAGCTAGGTCACGCCTTCGGACAGCACGCTTTGTGTTGGCGATGTCCTTGACAATCACGAGAGAGCCTCGATCGGCACTTAGAAGCGTGGCTTGAATTGTCGACACAGCAACCCCTGCAGCAGTCTGGATCTCCACCAGGTCGGACGTTGTCACCGACGTTTGTTCCTGGGACTTGTGAGCAGCACGGCGCCTGACAGCAGCATGAGCACGAATGTCCCGGGACGGTTCGTGATTGTGGTGAATGCTTCGTGACGTGTGAACAATCTTCCAATGCCCTTCAGTATCTGTCTTACTGACAGCATGCAGTGCAATGCGCATGGGCATCCTGAACGTTTTGAACCTCGCATGGTGCGCGTCCGGGTCTCTGCAGTCAAGTGCCCAATGTTCTTGACGGCTCCGGAGCGATCGCACTCATAGTTCCGTGCCCACACCTTCCTCTCAACTTCATCTGTGTACCGAACTCGGCGCCGTGAAAGGTTGAACCCGTGATCTTTAGTCCACTGACGCAACGCATCTTCAGCTAGGTCATGCGAGGCGTACACTGATTGTGGTGGAGGTTAGATGACAACGCGTTGAGGGCCGGTATCGCTCATTGCTGAACTCGTTGTATTTGACAACCTTTCGTGGTTCGTCTACAGTTCGTCTACATTATTTCGTCTATATCAATAAACCGGTAAGATATTGGTACTTACTGACTATTCCACTGCACGTTTTGTGTGAGGGCCGTCGTTAGTTTTTCCCGTCAAGAAGGACTGATCGCTCGTTGGAACTCCACCTAACTCATGTCTAGTTAGGTGGTGACCAGTGCTTCAATATACTGGAGTGGACCACCTATTTCGTATCGTAGTTGGGCCATTAACGGGTGAGTGATTTGCCCACGTCATATTAGCCTTCGTATTCATGGAGCGCTCGGTAGTTGCCCCTAGAATTTGTATTGACTGCCGTGTGGATTGACCGTATCCTGGATTGCAGCGAATGCTATCCGCTTAATTGAGGTGGAACGCGATTGTGTTGAGAGTGTTTAGGCTTGCTAAGTGTCCAAGCTTAGACTCGAGCGAGTCTAGGTTGTGAGACTCCACTTCGGGCGGGCCTGGAATACTAGGACAACTACTGTATCTACGTATTTGTGCATAAATCTGTTTACTTGTTGGCTATCTGCCAGTCCTGAACACACCTGAGAGGCTGTACAAGAGTTTTCCGCGTCCTAGCGAATACATTTCTAGTACGTCGAATCCTAGCGTCCCCGAATTATCTCGAAGTTTTCGAGGCTACATCCGAGAGTGGACTTTTCCTCCGCAATTCCTCTAACCTTATAGATGCTGACGTAACCGCCACTTGAGCAGATCATGAATACCTGAAGAACGCGGAACGGAGTCCGGACGTAGTGTTCATGGTCGCGGTATTGCGACTCGACAGTAACGGCAAGTGCATGAACTGGAGCAGTGCTCGGAAAAATATATTTAAATAAATAACATTACTATTTTCTTACCGCATTTATTATTATTGCTATAATCGGGCATTTACGGTTTCGTTTGTAAAATCAAGTTAAAGCTCGAGTAGTATACTTTATTTAAGTCAGAGGCACGACAAACTTGCAAATTATATCGAATAGGGGGCGAAGTCTTTTATTTTGCTCTCACGTTGTCCAGTGATCTTGTGAAACCACCTCCAACTGCCTAGTCACTGAAATTTTCACTTACCAATTTGACTTCGAGCACAAAATATTCCTTCACCAATGCCCTAAGAACGCTGACATCTGCCGTGCGCTCTTTGCTGCCCTGCCTGACCCCTACTTCAAGTGTAACTACTGCAACAAACTACGCCCCCAGCCCCCTCCAAGCGGGTACGGCAACCTAATGGGGCATTTAAGAGACAAGCACCCAACTACGAAGCTGACTACCTTGCTCACGCCAGTTCCTTGGCCAGCAACCTGCACACGTTTGGATTCGTGAGCGACAAGGTCGCAAATATCTACCACTGGATGGAGTGGGTTGTTGACCGAACCATGCCTCTAGCTGAGGTGGACTGTAACGGGGTTACACACAAGTGGCTAGATGTAGCCACTTGGTTACGACAATGGGTTTCACATTGGTGTGAGATACACCAATGGTTACATTTGACAGACCACTGGTCTGTGTGCATTTAGACTTCCTATTGGTTGAAAGGCGATCTCTTTCAACCAATTAGCTTAGCAGGATTCTGCCAACCACTGGTTGGCAAATACCTTTTATTTAGAATATCACTTTAGGAGGAAACCCAAACACAAAACATAAAGATAAATAACAGTTCTGAATTCTACGGTAAATCGGCTTTTGCTTTCTTATTTAAATAAATCTATACTTACGAGACGTAAGTATAGTTAATCTAAGTTTAAGCAAACTACGCTTCCTCATACACGTGCACTAACGTGTAAGCCGAAGTAGTGGGCAGACAGCGAGCCCATTACATGGACCACCCAACCACTCGCTCTATGTCCCGTCTCAAGCCCATCTGCTCGAAAACGCTCAAGCGCTACATGGTAGAAACTACCCGGGAGGTCGAGAAGGAGATTACTAAAGCAACCCCACCCACCTTTGGTGCCATGTACGACGGGTGGACATGCTTTTCGGAGAACTATGTAGCGCTGTACATCGTCTTTTGGAAGATGGCCAGCTATTCTACGTTCTGTTAGCGGTGGTACTCCCTTGATGAGGGCGATCTTACTGCTGTATCTACATTCGGAATATTTTGACCAATTTTGGTCAATCAGAGGAGTAGTTAAAATTTATGGTTGGAGACAATTGTGCCACCAATCAGCTGACGGCAATTGGTCGGTTGCGCGTCTCATCGTTTCAACCTGGCAACCAAAAGGTGTTTTGGCGGGCCACGAGGACCTAGTTGGAGCGGTGAGCGCGCTGATGCTGGCGCTACAGACTACGAAGAACCGCGCTGAGTTCCGACGTTATACCAGCCTCGGGCCTTCGCGTCCGAACGCTACGCGGTGGAGCTCCACCTTCATGATGCTAGAGCGCTACGTGCGCATACGGGGCGCGATCAAGCGCGTCGACGCGGTGTATGACCCCATGCCCAAGCCAGCTGCGCATCGACGCATCGTTGCTCTCGTCGAGAGCCTCAAGATATTTAAACACTGTGTGCAAGAAGCAGCAGGAGGAGGCAGCATTGATGAAATCCGTGCGGCTTCTATTCGACAAGATTACTGAGATGTTTCCTGTTACGGGAAACTACCTACGCCCCGACGCCGACATCGTCCATTCCCCTACATTTGAGAGCGCTGTCGTGAAGGTATGTTGCTGTATTGCTTTTATGTTGCTTTAAGTGTCACTAACCAACATATGTTTCTAAATTTCAAATTAGGTTGCTCGGGGTACTGAAGTTGAGTTGACACCAAAAGAGTTGCAGGCCCTCCAGCCATTCCAGCTGGAAGATGCTACATGGAGGCCACCGCACCATCACGTGGTTTACGTTCTCAGGCGCGCGCGCGCAGCACTGGGGACTTTGCAACGGCGTTGCTCCAATCGAACCCGGCTCCCGAGCAGTTGACGCCGTGGTACGACCCAATCATCACCGCCATCCCTCCGACCAGCAACCGCTGCGATAGGCTGTTCTCGCAGTGCAAACTGGTCATGATGCCTCAGCGTGCATCGTTGTTACCGATGAATTTCGAGATGCTTATATTTCTGCGTGCTAACCGTAAATTCTGGGATGCAAGTACGCTGATGGAACTAGATGTTGATGTCACTGATGATAACTAGTGCTCGAAGAACAAAACAATAGGTATTCCTCATTTATTTCTTATTGTTGTGAATAGCAGTCAATACTATTCTTTACTGTAATGTCCGAGCACTGGACTGGAGCATGAAGAGCACAAGGTCGTGGACACCGTTGTTCGGGAAGCTGATGTGGACACGAAGGCTACTCACGAAGGTGGAGTGGCTGACGGTGATGTCGAGGTGTCGTCGGACCAAGAGCAACCGCTTCTCGATCCACCAGCCTCATCATTTGCGACAATGCGTACAGAACTGCATTCGCCAATATTAGTGCCCTGAAAACAAGTAAAGATAGTATTCTGGCTATAACTTTTATCTGTTTCAGCTGCGCATTCGTATTGATATGGCTTGTGGCCTTCTTGTTAACAAGTTACAAATATTTAAGAGGCCATTAGCGGCTGATTTCATGCATGTGGACTAATTATGCACGGAGCTTCAAAACGATTGCATCGACAAACGCATTCAAGAACCCGCAACTGGTGGTTTTGTAAATGCAGAAGTGCGAGAGTTCAACGAAGTAAAGGATTGCAGTTACCCACCAACAGTAGAAGTAAGCACAACTAAGGAAATTCAGACGGGCATATATTTGCAATGTGATATTAGAGCATTTTCAGACCTACAATCTGTCTAGGCCAGCGTCCACCTGAAGAGGATAAATATAGTCCCTCATAATCCGGTCTTGAAGTTCATCCGCTTTACTTTGAATCGTTTATATATGGCGACTAACTGCATCGCGCTGATGCAGAATACCACTATTTTCCATCCCATTTAGAGTTATCTCATGAATCTGCAAAGCCAGCATTGAAAGAACTCAATACATCCCATCCACCGCTGCTAGTGTATCTACTTGTACATGCCGCTCCATCTTTCCGCGTTTTAACACGACACATCGCACACAACCATGCAAGTTTCCAAGACGGATGGTAAGGAGGCTTGTTAGAAAGGAGATAGAGAAGCGTCTAGTGAGCGCACAAATTAGTAGTATTGCGTTTGGTGGACCTTCAAATTGGCCAATAACCAAAAATGGAACAGAAAGAATCCATTCATGCGTTTAAGTACGATTTTACGACTCTTAAGTACGAAACAAAAGCGTTTTCTTTTTACTGGCCGTAAATTGAAAACTACTCGTGTTCCAAGGCTCTACAGACCACCACCATTATTAGGATTTTGTCATATATGCGTACACAATGCTGCTCAACCATAATCAAAATATTGAGAGTTGGTAATCACGGTTGACCGCCGAAAAGTGTCGATTTTTCGCCTGATCGTGTGAGATAGTCTATGTTAAACGAGCTAATGCAGTTGTTTTGTACTGTTTGTTCCGCATTCATACTTTCCTTTTCAGTTTCCACCAATTTGGTCACAACATCCGCCAAATCAACACAAATCCATGGTACCCGACGATCTTCGTTATTTGTTTTTGGTGGTTTTGTTTGTTGATCACTTGGGCTTACCACTAACTGACTGTAATTCATTTGATTCGCCATCCATTTTCCATGTATACAAAGAAGCACAAAGTTCGCTATCAGCTCAATACACGATGTACGGTATTGTCCAATGAGAACTCACTATTATTTGTATTCACTATGCCATTGGGCAAAATCAACTGGATCAGTTTAGAGCTTGCAAAACTATATAGTTTTGACATTCAGCAATCGTTTTTCAGAGGAATTCCATAGAGGTGGCCCCCAAAGTGTCGAACGATTGTTGTGCGTTTTTGTCACACACCTTGTAGGCCCAAGTCGTGATCACGGTGATGCGCCGTGGGTGCTAGAAGAAGGAAGATCTTGAAGCGGTACTGGATAAATCGTACTAGGGGAAAACATTCGCCAATGTGGTGCTCTTTAAGAGATCGAATTAGCTACAAACCAGCGGAGCTAACGTCGCGAGACACCAAGAACCCTCTCCCTCCTCTCTCCAGAGCTGGAATCGGATTTGGTGGCGTGGGTGGCCGGTATGCAGCGTGTTGGTTTACCCGTAAGACCGACTAGGGTGCTTGAACGTGCGAATAAGATCTACGAGCTACTGCATCACGCACCCCCAGGAACGGAACGCCGTCCCAACCGCTCACCAAGGGTTGATACGAATGTTTTATTAGTCGCCACCCAGTGTGACACCAAGAGCAGCGCCAAAGATTGCTCGTGTCCGGAATATGGTGGACGCTGACTCTGTCCGAACGCTCTTCTAAGCCATCACCAAGTGCGTGGTAGAGGTGAAGCTCTCAGGAGACCGTGCTTTTAACATGACTGGCGCCTCTTTTATGCATAATGGCACCTCAAGGAAGGTCCTTGCGCTCAACGGGTGGTCCAACGTTTGTTAAGTCGTGCACTAACATTGTCACTTGATTTTGTCCCAATGCTATGCAGTTTTACATGTTATATCTTTGAGGTCTGTAGCTGGCTAGAGAAATCAAAATTCATTCTGGAATCTCCAATTCTTCGTGTTTGGTGTTCTCTTAGGTTGGTCTGTATTATTTGTTGTATTACAGAGCTTTGAGTATTTCCCGACCATATGCAAAATCGTGCACTCATTTGGTGTCTTACGTTACGATCGTTTTCGCGCCACATGCCTTGCCTGCTGTGCCCTCCAGCTCCAGTTGATCCATTGCCCAGCTGTGTAGTCGTCTGACGCCGGTGCTCCTTACTACCTTCTGCTATGCTGTCCACTTGCTGCTTGCAGCCACTTCATTGCGCATGGGCGTCTCCATTAATTTGGAAGTGTTAAAATAAACGGATCTACGGAAGCGATTTCAGTGTGACCTTTTACAGCGAGTTTCTAAGCATGATCCTGTTAAGACTGGGGGTATGACTATTGGGGGGGGGGGGTCCTTTGACCATATGCGGAGCATGATACGTAACGACCCCATTAGGTACCTACCTCAACGGCGCTTCAAACCCTGGATTCCTGAAAGGCGTGTGCTACTCATGGTGCTAACTAAGGCCCGATGAAGATGGATGCTAACCAGAACTCTCATGATACCCACTTGATATCCATTTGATTAGGCTAACTATACTAGATAGTTAAACATACCCACTTCCTCCCTTTTTTTTTAGCGTGATCTCAGGTAACGATAATAAACACATCTGGTTTTGTGAAGCGAAGACGTCTTAATATCTCTCGAAACGGGTTATTTTGACGTCGTTGGATAAGAATATTAGTGTTAGTGTTGCTGAGTCGGACGTCTTCCTCTGACGCTACGCTACGGCAGCCCTGAGGCAACGGTAATGGTCGACGAGGGGTACCCCTTGCCTTGGTCTCTCCAAAAGAGCGTTTGTATTTAGTGCTCATCAATCTGCTTTTACGATGTATCTACGGCCAATTGCCGCGGACCTGCCCACAGCTAGCCCCACCAAAAGACACTCCTAGTATATCCGTTTTTGCACTGTGCGCTTCACCCTACCGAGCCCGCAGACACTTTCACGCCAGTTACAAAAACCTGAGCTGAAGTTCACCCACATCCTGGGCCAGGTCGAGCTCAAGTTTATCTTCCTAGGCGACGTTGTGGCCTACCCGCAACGATACATCGCCACAGCACACAGAAATGTCCGCAACCCGCGCGATTGAGGAACTAGTTATCGCGGCCTCCAGCGATCATCCACGTTCCAGGGCAACCAAACTCTAGAGCTAGGCGTCGCTCCAAGGGGCGGCACCTTATAGGCGAAGCCAGGATCGCTACGACCAGCCATTTCGATTTTCCTGGCGACTCTACACAAATCCGATCAAAAGCAACGATAGAAAGTGGTTTGAAAAGCTGATTAAATGTAAAAAAATAAAGCTACCTGGGATTGTCAACCCGACATAGCGCGTATGTTATCTGACGCTCTCATTCACGTGCGATTGCTCCTCAGCAGTAGATGCAGCTGTACTTTTTTTTCTTTTCCAACCTCCGTTTGGTTGTATCCAGGGTTGAATTGAGGTTCGTTGACACTGATTTCGCTGATTCGTGACCCGGCCTCCGCGTTGTTCTTGGGCATTAGCCGACCAGTCATCATCGTGCATATCACTCTTTTGGCCAGCTATCACTCACTTGAAATTACTGTGTCATCTTATACACTTTTTTATTGCAGTGATCATCACACTTGACTCTTCACCACCACGGCACACACTCAGCGTATGCGAATATAAGAACGTAGACTATAAACGCCTGTACAGCGAGACTTTTCCGTTCATTGGCAAGACTTCTTGTGCGATGAGTGATGTATTATAACGGCGGATGGTATTCGCCTCGCCACTTCAGGAATCTTCGAGTAAGAAAGACCAAACAAAACGAATAGAACAAGAGCGGTGACAGGCATAGGCATATGAAACTGCTTGCGATTGTATTGGGACCGGTATTGCCTGCGCATATACTCCACGACCGAAGACAAAACCCAGATCTGTAACTAAGGAAATTGAGCACGAGAACTTAGCTCTCAATAATGTTGTCTGCTCATGCATTGTGGGATACTACACAAACCAGGCTGAACCATAAAGTCTTGTATGCAGACAAGGAATAGAACGAGATAAGCCGCTGCTGCAGACTTTCTCGGCTGCTGAGGAGTGCTTGACATGATGTATTAAATCATTTTGAATTGAACGTTGACGAGAGTCTCCTGAGGGGACACGTGGAACATTCTCGAATCGGCTCTTCTTTGTCCCTACTGATGAAAACGTTTAAATCAGCTGTGTGGTGCACCTCGTCTCGATTTTTTCCACCTTACAAAGATCGTTGCCGTTAGACTTGGTTTCACTATCGATCGTTGAAGGTCTCGCCGGCGTACGATTGGCTCTCCTTTTCGCGCGTGTCCACACCCCTTCGTGCTTGTATAAAACCAGTTGTGTTTATAAATGAATTAAACAGGTACAGTCTGTGATTGGCTAAAATAATTGACAGGGCATGTTTTTCTTTAGGTAGGCATGGCACAATACAAAGTAGCGCGCGACAGCAAGAGCTCTTGACGAGGACGAAGGGGAAGCGTAGCTTCACTCCGTGGGATCGTTTGTGCGCAGTGCTGACTGCCGCCTGACTGGCTCCTACGAGTAGCTTTGCACCTGAATTATCACGAATATGGTGACAGGAGGAAAGGAGCACACAGGCAGCCCGGTCGAGTCCCATGAGCCAGTAGACGAGCACCAGCAGAGTTCGACGGACGAGGAGTTCAAGGATGCAAAGAGCGGAGGCACAACAAGCAGCGACGAGGAATCTTCACCCAAAAGGGTAACACGCGCGCGCGGTAGACAGACAGCAGACACGGAGAAGGACGGCCCCAGGACCCGCGGTGCAAGCAAGGCAAAGACAAGTCCGAAGACTAGCAAGGGAAAGAAGAGCAACGGTAAGAGCTCAGCAAAGAAAGTTCAAAAGGATGGCGAGTCGGACGACAGCGACTCGGCTGGTGACTACGTTCACGTCCAAGTTGGTGACTGTGTGATGCTGGATTCGGGAGACCCGGACGATCCGTACGTCGCGCTAGTAAGCTCAGTGCAGACTTCGCAGCGGCATGACCGAGCTGTGTCCACTTTCATGGCGCAGTGGTACTATAAACCTTACGACGTCAAAGAAGAGGTTAAGGCCTTGATCAAGGGTGGCGTCCTGGAGAACGAGGTGTTTTTATCACCCCATAAGGACAGGAATTCGATCGATGCTGTGATCGAAGTGTGTCAGGTTGTGTCTCCTGAGGAATATAATGACATTCAGGACGAGATAAAGCGTGGGTACCGCGAGAAAGGCAAGATGTTTTTCGTGTGTCGCTACAAGTACTATCCGAACCGTAGCAACATCAAAAAGGCGCTGGAAGTTGTTGAGAACGAAGCGATCCGAAGCGGACTGGGCCGTCCCAAACCCAATGTCGGCATCAGCTACCAGGCAACCATACCGGACTTCATCGAGCCAGTAAGTAGGGTGGATGATTCTCTTGTTCCTTGGAAGACATGCGAGGATCCTGCAGTACGACCGCGACAAATGTGGTCTCCACTAGTTGCGACGAAACAAAGCCAGACGTTTCTGCAATTTCGAGATCTGGTGGACACACTTAAGTTCGCAGTGGGGAACATTGTCAAGACATATCGACCGGGTGCGAAACCCGTGGGCCACCAACGTGGCATCATCCTGCAGTACGAACTGTCGGATGCGATTCAGATTTGTGTATCCACTGGACAGGTGCTCACAGTGTTGAAGAGCGAGCTGTGTTCGCCACTCTCAGAAGACTTAGCCATGCAGCAATTATACCTTTCAAGATTTAACTTATCGCAAGCTGCATACGGGTGCTCCAAGACGATTCTGGATGCACAGCGTACGGAGAGAAAGGCTTTCCGCAAGGAGGTGGAGCTATTTGCAAAGGCAAAAACAGCAGCAACTGTTGACAAGAATCTTCAGGAAGGGGACACTCGAAAGCGCAAGAAGTAGGAAGTTTAATGGAATTACAAAGCTGGCATTGTGATCGTCATACAGCAGCCTTGACTCGGGTTGTGTCTGGGTAGTCCTCTACTCGTTAAAGTTTCGCAGCGGATTTGGGTGCCTTCTTGTCCTCCTCCTTGATCGCCTTGAGGTGATCCAGCAAGTAAGCCAAGTCGAACGCCTTCTCCTTCAGGTAGTGGTACCTGTCACTAGCACTAAAGTGGCCTGACGACAAGTCCATCTTCAACAGCACCTCGTTCTGGTCGCTCTTCATATCACGCAGCTTTGCGACCCATTTGGTGGGCTCCCAGTATGCCACACGTGGGTCAAACAGCCCGCTCGTGACCAGAATGTTCGGGTACGCTTGCTGCTTGACATTTTCATAGGGAGAGTAACTCAGCATGTACTCGAAGTAGGCTTTCTCGTTCGGGTTCCCCCACTCCTCCCACTCTCCAGTCGTCAGCGGAATCGAGGCGTCGCTCATGGTGTTCATCACATCCACGAACGGCACACCAGCGATGGCAGCAGTGAAAAGGTCCGGACGCATGTTTAACACGGCGCCCATCAGCAATCCGCCAGCGCTGCGGCCTTCACACGTCATCTTGCTGGGGCTCGTGTATCCAGTCTTAACGAGATGCTCCGCACAGCTGATGAAGTCCGTGAACGTGTTGATTTTCTTCTTGTATTTCGCGTCCTCGTACCACGTTCGGCCCATTTCACCGCCACCTCGGATATGAGCGATTGCGTAAATCACACCGCGGTCCAGCAGCGGCAGGATGGAAGACACGAAGCTCGGATCGATCGGGATTTCGTACGAGCCATAGCCATACAGATGCAGCGGCTGGCGGTCCTGCGAGCGAAGGTCCGAACGGTACACCAGCGAGATTGGCACCATGGTTCCGTCGCTAGCCTTTGCTTCCAGCCGCTCGGTCTTGTAAAGGGAGCGGTCATAGTTCGGTACAGGCTTCTCCTTCAACAGCGTCGACTCACGGGTGTTGACGTCGTAGTCGAACGTTGCCCATGGGGTAGTCATCGACGAGTAAATGAAGCGGTACTTGTCCGTGTCAAAGTCACGGTTGACCGACCCGGACACCGTGTAGCTGGACTCCTTAAAGGTGATCTGACGGCGAGCGTGCTTGTCTCCCTCGGGGACGATGATCCAAAGCTGCGAGTAGCCTCCCTGTCGACCTTCCATGACCATAAAGTCCTTAAAGCAGTCAACATCATCCACCTTGATGCTCTCGTCGTACGGGAACACATCGACCCAGTGCTCTGGCGACGGTGACGTCACCGGCGTCCTCATCACCTTGAAATTGGTGGCCTTGTCCTTATTCGTCACGATGTAGAAATAGTCTCCAAAGTGATCCACCGAGTAGATCAATCCCTTCTGGCGCTGAGCAATCACCTGTGGAGGCTTGGACGGGTTATCCAATTCGATGAAAGACACCTCGCTGGTTTCGCTGCTCGAGGACAGCAAGAACATGTACTTCCCGCTGCGAGCTTTCTGGAAGTAGGCGCTGTAGATTTCATCGTCTTCCGTGTACAGCAGCTCGTCCGCGTCCTTGCTCCCCATCGTGTGACGCCACAGTTTATTCTGGCGATGGGCTTCGTCCTGAGTGGCGTAGTAGAGCACAGAGGCGTCCTGTCCCCAGCGCAGACTCGAGATGTTTTCGATCCGGTCCGGTAGTAACTTTCCAGTCTCAAGATCTTTCACGTAACCCGTGTACGTTTCGTAGCCGCTGAAGTCCACCATGTACGCCAGATAGCGGTGGTCGGGACTGGGGGATACGCTGGCCACTTGGCAATGGTTATGACCCTTGGCGATCTCGTTCTCATCCAATAGTAACTCTTCCGGCGCGTTCTTGGTCTTGGCCTTGCGGCAGTGGTATGCGTAGCTGCTGCCCTTCACCGTTCGGTTGTAGTACAAGTAGGAGCCGTGCGGATATGGGTAATCTTCGTCGGTCTCCTGGACGTGCGACAGCAGCTCGTCGTAGATGTTGGCGCGCACGTTAGCGAGATGCTTCGTCTTGACGTCCGTGTACTCATTCTCCTTGCGAAGATGTTCCAGCACCTCCTCGTTCTTGCGCGAGTCATCACGGACGTAGAAATATGGGTCCTCAAGGTACAAGATGGGCTTCATTGGGCTCGAGCCACGGTTCTGCCCCGCGACAGCGCCAAATGGGACCATCTTGGGTCGCTTTTCAAGGACGGGAGGGCGCACACGCCGTGACAACGTCGAATACGCCGACCGGCGAAGGCGCACCACGTATAGAGCCGCGGCCGCGCCGATGCCGACGGTAAGATTCAGTGCGCTCTGTCGGCTCATACTGATCGAAGGATGAGGGAGTTTGTGATGATCCGCAAAAGGATATTCCCACCACGCTAAAATACTTCCGGGTAGCCATGTTTGCACATCGAGATGTACGTACGTCTGTTACAGTTATGATTTAGCTGGCTACCGGGAAGTAATTTAAAGATGACGGAAGTGAGCGGGTGCGAGGAGCAGTCAGTACATGTAGCCGTAGCAAGATCGAGCGGCCCTACTTCGTAAGCACCCCACTCGGTATTTGCGTAGGCGCCAGCGACGGTCTCACCGGCAAACGGATCCTCTCCAGTCTCCAGTGCATGCTCTTTTCAATTGAACAGCGCAATTTTACTATCTCGTGATGTAAACAGTTTAAACTTTTTTTTTATACTCTGGAGTAATAAGAAAGTTATCTAAAAAGGATGTCGGAGAATAGATATTATCCAGATACTTTTTTTTTCACCAAGATTTTTCTAGATAATTAAAGTTAAAAATTCAGCCGGTCAAGCAAGCACATGTAGTTTTAGATGACTTTATAGAGAAATATATGTTGCCGAGCATGTATTAAATTGCCAAACAGCAGATGCGAAAATAAGCTAATTACTCTAAATTGTTTGACTAATTAGAATAAGTGACAATAGAACTTCTAATCGAGTAAAATCTCCCTTTTCATATTTTATGATTTCAGGACAGGAGGTAGTCAAAGCAAATCGTAAAAAGGTACAGCTTATATTCTCAATTTGCCTAGCTTTCGTGAGCCGCCGTGTAATTGTAGTACACAGCATTCTCATACTCCGGTGCACAAAATGGAAACTCCACACTGTCGCTGGGGAAGAAAAGATTTTCGCCCGACGTGTACGTTACGTAGCAACCAAGGCAAAAACACACCATCGTGACGATCACAGCCATAACCTTTTCCCAGATCGGCATCACGCTCCACTGCTTCTTCATCAGAAACACGATTGGCAAGATGATCGAGTGCATTGTGATGCACGAGGCGCCGACGAAGTCGGACAAATCCGCAAAGTGGTCCTTCAGAATCACCGAAGCAATTACCAGAATCGCGACGATCACAATTCGCAGAGTGACGTACTTGATAGCATTTGCGCCGCGGTACTCGGCTGCCTCGGCCTCGGGGTGTCCGAGGTGGACGTTTTCGTTATCAGCGATCGAAACGAAGGAGTGTTTTGACAGACGAGATTTTTCCAACTCGGTGTCGTTGTTTGGCGTGGCAATCTCTGCGTACGTCTGCAGGTTGTTTTCGATATCGTCATCTGTCGGCTTGTGCATACCCAGAAAGAGACGCTCGGTAATGTAGAATGCCGGATTCAGGATTACTGAGAACGCGATCGTAATATGCAGTTGCATGAACATGTACGCCAGGACAACGGCACCCCAATCTGAGGCGAAGCCCAGCGTGGTGAGGCCACTGTCCGCATCCGGGTAAATTGACCACAGCAGGTTACCAGAGATCTGGCACCCAACCGACGAGTATGCGGTGCTGGCCAACACCAGGAAGCAGCACGTGGTGAAAGCCATCGTGACAAACACAACGCGAGGCATCCGAGTAGGATCGCTGTGTTGACGCTGAAGAGCTGGAATCACGATGCCTGCACCGTAGGCGAGAGCCAAATTTCCGAAGGCTCCAGCGACTTGCTTGAAGTTGAGGTCAGGTGCAGGCGCAGTCGGGTGTCCACGCATGCCGTACATGACGACCGCGATGCCGATTATATCCGCTACGAGCGTTCCCATGCAGCCGGCGAATGCAGCACCAGCTCCTTCCTTAAGTGTTGGCACGAGACATACGGGCAGTACCAAGAGTGCCATGAGAATAGACCACGTCGTCGTGCTGAAGGCTCCAGGATATAGACCATCGAGAAGCGTACCACCAAGCACCAAGAACACACAAGGAACGATGAGGCAGTTACCCATTTGGGCGATGACGGTGAGATAGCGACCCCACTTGCCCATGACCCACTCGCCCAGGTCTCCATAAGTCCTGACTGATGTGGGCGCGAGCAGCATAACGCGGCAGATGGCAACGGAGCCATAGATGTTGGCGAAGGCCATGAAGGCCATTGCGACAATAGCGAGACCGGGGCCAGCACGCGAGAAGTTGCCCGGCATACCAAGGGTACCGATGCCGTAGACGCAACAGAAGAGGTTGAAGGCCGCCTTGGCATCCTCCATCGTGAAGAATGGTTTATCCATGGTGATGTTCTAGTCGCTTGGACAGGAGGCGGTGGGTTGAAGACTGAGAGACCGAAATTGGCCTTCGCCGGTGGCAGCAGCTACTTTTCATGCTCCGGTGAACTGGTGGCGGTGAAATACTCGAGCTCTGTTCAAAGGATTCCACTTGCATGCGTCGGCTTTGCACGGGCATATATCGAAGTAACTACATGCACCAGAAGATTACCCTTCTTTTGACCGCTATGCTTGATTGGATGAGGACCTCAAAATTGATATTGAAAGGTCGCAAGAACGATTGGCCAAATTCAGGCGAATTGAACCAATCGTCTGAGACTGACACAGTGCGCGTCACGGGCGACATGTCGAAAACTTTGGAGTATAGCAAATACTTAAAATAATACTAGTAGCTTAGCATATTTTGATGCAATCTACACTACTTTCGTGATCCAATGAAAATAAGGGAATGTCGAAGGGCGACTCCGTAACAGTGGTAAGTACCTAGGTAGCTACTACTGTAAGATAATACTCCGGCATGAGCGCTGAGTAAGTGGTCTAACTCAAGTCACGAAAAAAAAGCTGAAATTTTGTCCCGTCCATGCATCCAACAATTCAATCATCCAAACACTCGAACATCCATCACGCGTCCAAACACGTACATATTTACATGTTAAAATTACTGAATAATTTTAATATTGAATATGTACGCGTTTGGACGCGTGAAGGATGTTCTGGCATAATATGGTACATATTATGTAAAACCATGAAAAAAAGACTTACATGAGAAAGCTTCTATAAATGCAAAACGACATCACCCCCAGAATATCATTTTCTGAGATTACCAATTGGGTCGCGAAGTGCTCTCCTATTGAATCACCGACACAGCTTGAAAAATGACGAGTTGTGATAAAATGATCAAACTACCTCAGAGCGCCATTTGCCATACCGCAATTAATAGGGTAACCCTCAATCTGATCCAGAAATGGTGTGCATTTTTCAGCGTCGCACGTGGCACGGTGGAAATAGATTTACGGAGTCCAACACTAACCTCCTATTCAACTTAATTATTCCTTTTAGTTAATTAATCAAATTCGGGCGGCATGACAAAACGACAGACGAACGAGTGAAGTCTCAATTTCAAATGTATTTATTAGGCAATAATAATAAAACCGCTCTCCCCGTGTCAGTACAGAACGAGCCCATTTGTAGTAATCCCTAGACGTGGGATGACGACAGTAATACGAAAGGATGCCCCAATCACGTGTCACTTCAAACATGGATATCATAAAATACTATTCTGAGCTGTACTTTATACGCCATCGTTAGTTTCCAGGTATCGAGTTTTGGCGATTGGTTGCTCAAAGCCCTTTCGGGTAGGGATGTCCAAGTATCTATTTATGCTGGGAGGGAAGATAATACATAACGCGTTCCACCCCACCACAGAAACAAAAATAAAACTGAATAGAAGCCAATTGCAAAATAATTTATTGCAAATTTAATTATGCTCCTCAACTGCAACATGGCGTTCCTCGTAAAATAATATCATGATGCGGCGTTAGTGGTGTAGCAATACAAGCTCAAGAGCCTCTTCACCCTGTAGAACGGTATAATCACACAGATAGTGCAAATGATCTGCACAGATAAAGAAGCATAACTACACCTTTGCCCGAGCAAAGTGAGACATCAAACAAACCAAAAAGAGATATAACCCGTTTATAACCGCAAACATTATTTTGGGCTAGATTTTATTATTGTAAGTTGAACTGTTCCACAACAAGTGAGATTACCTATGAAACAAATGATACTCGCTCATGTTCAACGAGCTTCGACCAGAGCCTATGTCTCATACTGCATGCCCTCCATCTTCAGTGCATTTGCCACAGCACGTTGACAATGTAGCGCCATTGAAACAACCAGATGACGGTGCATGCAGCCGATCGACGCATTAGCGGCGTCCTCCATCTACGCCATTCTCGCCTCAGTCATGGTGAGAAAAATGCCTTGGTTGAACAAGCGTTGACTGTTGTCCGATAGATACGTCTTCAGTTTCGACTTGAACACGCTGAAGCAGCCTAAGCATGCATATTAATAAAGAATAGGTCAGAAATAATAAACTAGTCACATTGTCTACATATTTTTTTATTACCTTCAATTGGATTCAGCATGGGTGAATATGGCCCCAGTCTTAAAAGGACGAGGTCACTATGCTCACCAAGCTCCTGCTCCACCCTCGCTTCAGTCTGGTTGTGAGCCGGAGCATTGTCAAGCACGATCACCACCTTCTTGCCGCAGAAGTACTCACGGTAGATTTCCGAGTTCTTCACGGTCAAGTAGATCTTTTGCACGAAGTCAGCGTTCACACTCATAAGGATGCTTCCGCGCTGTAGCTGATGCAGCACCAAATCGTCCTCAACAGACACAACAAATTGAATCTGGAAGATCTTGCCCTTGGAGGGAGGGGTCTTAACTGCCGCTCGTTTCCCTTTTGCAGCACGTCCTTGCGAGCGCATGCAGAACGGGTCATAGTTTGTTTCGTCAAAATAGACGATGTAGTCGCCATCATCTTGATGTTCGACCAACGCTTTTGGGAAACGGAAGCGTTTCATCTTATTCGCGTCGCTATTGCAAGTAGATTTCTCCTACGAATCTATAAAAAAGTGAATGTCATAATTTAAATACTAAACGATAAAACACTTCTTAGCAGCCCAAATACCTGCTTTAGCGTTTTCAACTTCGTGGTCAGCTTGGCACTCAGAGCTTGACACTGAAACGCTTGAAAACTTTGTCTGTCAGCTGCGATAGCGTCAGTGTACAGTCCGCCTCCAGGTACGTCTCCATGGCAAATACCATTTCCTCGGTACACTGACGACGCTTGCACGTGTGCCGCCAGGTGCCGGCGGGCTGGGATCCCCAGTTTTGCACAGCCTGTAGGTAGCAGCCCTCGACATATTGTTGTGCTTGGCAACTGTTAGCCAGTCGTCACCGGATTCGTACGCGGTAAGCACACATTGGCGCTCCTCTGCAGTAACGTGGTGGCGTGGCGATGGTGTCGACGGGCGAACGTTGTCTGGGGCATCTTCGTTAGTGCTGAAAGAAAAAGTAATGAGAGCTATTTGTGAAAATGACTGGCACAAATTGGAGCGATTCCCGCAGCCTAGCTGAGGTGCCAAAACTTTTATTTTGAAGCCCTTTCTAAATCTAGAATTGAGCGTGTCCACCCGTCGCCAAGACATGCACACTGTTCCGCGTCCGCCAAACGCAATGAACGACGACGGCAAAGACGGCGTCGTGCTCATTCTCATGCTAGCACTCGCGCATGAGGGTCCACAAGAGAAGGATGAGCGACAAAGGGGACAGAACTACCTTACAAGAGCAGATCTGCATCCCGAGGCACGCTATGGCACGACATGGGAGGCTATTTATGGCGCTGGAAACGATAGAGCTTTTATTACAACGACTGGATTCGACGTTAGCTGCTTCCACTGCTTGTTATCGTGTTTCGAGCCCAGGTAGAGTGGAAAAATGCTGCTCTGGGATCACTATACTGCTGTTGACAGATTGGTTCTTAAAGATGGTGCTCCACACCCATACCAAGAAATGACGTCGACGCTTCTGGTGAATCCAGGCCGGATCGTCGCTCTCTTTCTGCTGCTGCAGCGCTCGGCTTGGCGCTCCACTATCTCTGTTCTACCATGCCCCAGTCGGCTTCTTCACGTTCAGCAGGCCGCTAAACTTTTTCTTCAGAGACGTCAGCTCTCGCTCCGCGCGATCAAACTCATTCGCGGAGTCCTCGTAATTGTGCAACACAACCTCCCATTCGTTTGCTCCAGTTGGGAGAACCGCACCGATGATCTCTAACAGCCTTTTCACGTCCTCGGGGCTGTAGTTCTCGACACCGGGGACTCTTCCGCGTCGTGGCATCCCGAATGCTGCTGTCGCTGATGGAGGCGCGGCTCTGTCGAGTCTGCGGAGGGGGCGATCACGTGATGACAAGACCGTGTTGTGGCGGCAAGGCAAGCTGTATGGATCTTGCATGTATGGGTGGAAAGTTTTGCTGTGGGAACGATCGAGCGGATGCCACGTATTTTTAATAGGATTGGCCACGCTCGTGACGGATCCATCAATTGTGCCAGATCCCACAAAACAGCTATAACCACAGAAATGAAGAAATTTATTCCTCAGCAAGACGAATGTGTAGTTCCACCACAGCTCATATGGAGTAGTATGAGGTGGTCATTAGATATCCACCAACCAAAGCAAGGGTAACCTACTTTAACACAAATCACAAACAGCGCAAATACTTGCGCCGTCTTCAGGGCACGAAGAACTCAATGCATGTCGTCCGTCAACTGGTTCGCCAGACCGCATTTGGCCCAACTGGCGATCTACACGGTGCGTTTTGCTGTAGGATGAAAATCAAAACGTTAATGTCGGTAAAGATACAAATTGGATTGGTTCGTTATGGGAGTTTCGAGTCTTGCACTTGTCAGCTCATAATTGAGCACGCGTCACCCAGCCGCTTAACGCTTTTTCACGCAGACGCCACGTTCAAGCTGAGAGACCTAGGGTATCCAGTCATCACGTGTGGCTTTTCGGATTCTTCCCGGTATCAGCTGGCGGCTATATTTATAATGAACCGTTGCACAACTAAGACATATGGCATGTGTCTTAGCGCTCTGGTAGTCATGGTGAAGCGTGCCCGTCCTTCCTCCATGCTTCATACCGATGCCGTTATTGGAGATATTGAACACGCACAGCTCAATGTGTATCCGCTTTTGGCTCAGAAACGTACTTGATGTGTTGCTTTCACGTGTTGTAAAATGTACGTAAAAGACCTCGACACTTACAGTGGGGGCACCGGAAAGCCGTTATGGATGGAGGCGTACGGAATCAATATGCCAACAACATAAACACGTATTACACATTGAATGACGCAGTACTCGCGCAGTGGAGAGCGATTCTGCAATGAAAGGTGTTCTAAATATTTTACTGAGCAATGGCTGGATAGTCAGTACTGGTGGTGACAAGTATTTCACACTCCAATTCGTATTGCCATAACCAATACTTTATGTGAAACTTCCAACGCAATGTTAAAGAAGTACACGGGGCGTCAGAGATTCTTCATGCAACGGCTGCTAGCTTTTACTACGACTGTCATGCGAAATGCCTTGGTACGCTATAATATCCCTCCATGCATTTATCACACCGAAAAGTATTAAAAGCATCTCCGCCTCAGTTGTATTTGGTCGCTGGTGAATACCACCAACCCGTACGTGCACAAATTGGCATCGGTATACCTTGCTCCAGCTCGTGCTAAACCATTCCTAAACAATAGCATATTCCCCTTGTTTAAATGGAGTATCAACCGCTTCCTTTCTCGGGTTGGTCTCCAATGCAGCGTGCGTACACGTGGAACAAGGTGCCATTCTTTGTAGCAACGATGACAGAGCCCTGGGCGAGATGGTGACGCAGGTAGGCGCGCGATACCTCAAACGACGGGAAGTCGCGATGCACATGTCTGGGTTTCCCCACCTGGTACAGCCTTAATTGCATGCCAAGTGTCCATGTTCCCTTCCCATGCGCTGTTAGCAACCTCCACGATGCTTTCCACAAGATCGTGCATCTCCTTGATGGCGGTTTCGTCATTAACCTCTAACTGACATAGTGCCTGTAGAGAACAAGTGCCCTGGAGTGTATTTTCCTAAATATAAGACAGCTGTCCAAATGGTTAACCTTCTTGAATGCACGCTCACACAGATCCTCAGAAAGAAGCTTTATTGACTATGTAGCCAATATTCCAAAACTTCGACAGCTCTTGAAATGAAAACGATATGGTTTTTATCAATATAAGCCTGTCTGAAAACTATTAAGTCACAAATCCGTCAACAGTCAAACGACACGCAGCAGCAGCGGTCACAGTGGACACACTTAGGTCACACTTAGGGCAAACCAAGGACACACTCAGCTGACCACACTCAGACGACACTCAGCAGACACAGTCGGGAGCACCAGGCAGCGGCCACGGTCAACACCACCAGACTCAGCCGGGAGTATCAACGATCAGCACAGCCAGCCAACTTCAGTCGGGAGATCGAAGAATGAAGCGTGGTCCGTAGTCTACGGCCCGTAGATTGAGGTGTGTACGTGCTGCAATATGATAGACTAATGATTGTGTGACATTACTTGAGGAGCTGATTTCACATATGTAGAATTACTTTTCATACATCTGTGCTTTGTTTAATTTGTCTGTGCAAATCCTCTTTTTTCTTCACCCTGTTTGAAAGTACGTAAGATACTGTATACCTGACAGATTGCTAAATGAAATGAAATAATTACTAGTATATCATTTTACGAATAGAAAGATGAGTATCGGATTACCTTATATTAAGACTCTAAAACAATTTTTAAAAATATTGAATTGGTACATAATACACCATTTTATTTCTAGTATGTCTTTTTTTGGCATCCCTGCCTTCGGGTCATACGAAATATAATGATTTCAGCGTTAGCTCCTAGCGGCGATAACAGTATTGAATGAACTATAGCATAAGGGCGTGTTGCTTTAGACAGAGAGGACAACTACCGACGAAAGTCCCAAACTCCGATACTCTTTTCAGCTCCGAGCCTCGTTCGGCTTTTCGATAGCATCGCTTTGATTTTCGTTTATCTTAAGCTTACTAGCCTCTTCGGAGGTTAGTGGACGTGTTGGATTTACCTCACTGACATTCATAAATGCCAATTTAGCAACTTTCTTCCGAAACAGTCACGTGCTTTTAAAGCTGGTTATTGTCTATCAACCACAGCAGGGCTTGCCGGATTAAGTGCAGCGGATCTCTGAAATACGTTCCCCCAATATCTCTCTTTGACTGGCGAAGAAGTACTACCCCGAATCGGGACAACGGTCTAGACACGGTTTTTGCCATTAGAGAATAATTTAGAACATAGTCACTTCGCTTCAATTCCATGGCAACGACTTCTCCGTTGGGTTGTTCTTAAAGCAGAAATTACTAACCAACTTCCGTCGCACCTGCAAGTTCAGTTTTTGCGAGCCCAGCACCGTAATGCTACAAATATAGGACGCACAAATAGCGTCCAACATAGCATGTCTAATAATACCGAAAAACGGAAGTACAAACTACTTATTATGAGAAAGTCAACATAAACACTGCGCGTTTATCGGGTTGACACGTTTTTGAGCTATTTCACACGTGCAGCAAGAAAGACTTCAACTGTTTTGATCAATATGAGGGAAAGGAAACGGCATATCAATTATTGCTACCTGCATATTGCTACAAAAAAAAAACGCTTTCCCTATACCTATGACGATAGCTCGTCCACACCTCCATTATTTTCTCCACCGCTTTCACCAGAAGGAGACCGGCGGCGGCGCTTCTTCACCGGGCGCGGGGCAGGTGGACGGTCGCGCGTTTTTTTTTTGTACGCCAGATTCTTCGGAATTTTTTTCGTTACTCCAATCGTTGTGCCAAATGTGAAAGCACGTCTTTACCCTCTCTTCCTGGGCTACATTGCACATGTATTTGCTACTCATATCATCTAAAGCGCAAACAAAACCATTGTTAGCTTATTTTGTATGCATGGTCAGGAGTGCATTTCGCTATGTGAACTCCCAAGTCAACATAAGCACTTTGACCAAAACAAAACAAAACTGCAGCGAGTTCGAAGCCTACTACGGCTTTCAAGTCACAAACCCTCAAACAATGCGCCGTCTTGGCACATGCCGCCATAACACCCTCCCCCCCCTGCGGGACTTGTCCTTGATTAATTAACTAAAAGGAATAATTAAGTTGAATAGGAGGTTAGTGTTGGACTCCGTAAATCTATTTCCACCGTGCCACGTGCGACGCTGAAA